AAGAAAAAGTGCTGAGTGGCTCCACATTAAAGAACCTTTGGGATGAATGGATGGACAGATGAACAGATGCTCCTCTGAAACACACTGAGATGGCTCTTAACAAGCCACCTATGCACTGTTAGGATCACAGAAGTTTGCTGATCTGTTTTTAATGCAATAATTTTAAAATTAAAGGAAAAATACACAAGGGTATAGAGATTCTTGTATTTAGTGTGGTGAAACATCAGTCTCCTTCGTACCCAGTAATATGTGTCATATGTTGCACAGTTTGGTCTGTTTTTCCAAGTAACTGCTAAATATTTGTTTTTCATCAACAAAATCATTTAAAGAAGCTGGCTAGATAGATCTAAATTTGAATTAAATATATTTGCTAATGCAGAGGTTTCCAAGCTGCATCATGTTTGTGATGTGTGCAAGTTGCTTAAGGGACCAAGCACCTCCTGTGCATGTACATGTTCTGGGGGTATTTGCTGCTATTGTGGCCTTTGTTCATGGGAATGCAGAAGCAGAGTAAATTTGGGAACAAGAAGTTTATTTAGAAAAATGATTACATAAAATTTAACATCGCAGTTTATTATGTTTTCTTGAAACCCTTTTAACTCCTAAAAACACTCAAACTCATTGAATAAGTTAAATGTCTAGAACATTCTTACTTAATTGATGTAGTATTTTTAAAGGTGATGTAGAGTGTCAATTGATATCTTTAACAATTAATCCAAATAGGACCCCCCTTACCTAATGCCCTTTCATTAGTTTGTACTTTTCAAAACAAAGCAGTCTGCTACCTGTGGGGTTCAATTTAACATATCTGATAGTATGCCACCTTCAAAGGCAAGAGTGAAATGGGAGACTTCCCTTTATAGTAGCTCAAAAAGTGAATTAGACTTTTTAAATGTTTTTCATGTAGAAAAGACGTTTACTGAATTGGTACTTCACTAATCTCAGTTTGTCAGGAATGATGCACACAGGCATTTGAATCTGTTTGAAACTATCATTTAGGTTATTAAAATTAAGCCCAAGTTAAAAAAATTTCATGTTACATATGTTCATGGAATCACCTCTCTTAAACATCAGTGGCATCACATGCTGCTGAATTACCTTATCTCTAAGTGATCTTAATTACTACAGATTTCCCACCTATGTTTGTCAGTACTTCCAGCAAAAACCTTTCATTAATTGACCCTTACTTGCACTTGAGCTTACATATTCTCTGTGACACTCATCAGCTTATTCTGTCTGTACATGTCTAATCATGTTCTGTTTTCCTGATAGTAAACTGAAGAAAAACATGCTGTAATTTTTAAATACTGTAAATTAGGATTAATAATAAAAAAACTACTTTATTGTAGCATAATATATGGTCATGGTCAGAAGTTTATAGAAGTGAGTACTGCTTGTATTTGCCTTGAAGTATATCAGAATATTGGTTACAAATATGGATGGAGGGAACAATTTAATGGAAATCGTTTATATTATTCTTTTTGCTACTTTAATTCTCGTTTCCAGAATAGTTGATTGACCAGATCCATAGAAATAGAATGACTGACTACTACTTCAAAGTGATGACTTGAGGTCCAAAATATTAAAACAGGTTTTTTTCTAAATTATTTATTCTTGTATTAATAAAGTGGCTGTCTTCAATTTGCATAGGTATTTCACTGAGAATAATTTTAAGCATTTGTCAAACTTGTAAGGGTTTCAAAAAATTTAAAGGGTCACACATTTTATTGTTAACAGAGGGTGTTGAGAGAGACTGTCAACACCCCATGCAGCATTAAGCTGTTGCCTTTGATGTGTAGGCAGTACCTTAGGTCTCACAGAACTGTACTATAACTAAGTGTCCATATGTTCAACCCACTTTGATGTGTTCAAAGATCTTGGGCCAGCAGCATCCGTATGCTATCTCACAACCATAGGAGGTAAAACATGCCATCTGGATTCCTGTTCCTTTTACTTACCTTGTGTCATGGCTTATTCATGGGAGCAGAAAGCCTTTTTTTTCCCTTCCTTGCTACTCAAAATTATTTGGTAGTTTACATGAAAAATCTGGTTTGACTCAGTTTTTAATGAATTTTATTTTGGATGTCTATTAACAATCTCTTAGAAGAGATGAGAGATGGGAGAGGGTTTTCTGAGTCCAAAATGTACTCCTATACTCATGCTATGACAGTAAAACAGTGAGTGTTTCAAATACCTTTATTAGCTAAGAACTCCATTTCTCAAAGTCTTTCACCTTTCATATCTGTTCCCAAGTAAGTTTACGGATCCAGATTTGGATCCAAGCAGATCTTGAGTGGGGTCTTACTAGGTAATAAGACCTGGATGCTAATAAGCTGAACACTGTCTGTATTGCAGAAAACACTTGCTATGATCAAATCTGAAATAAATCCTCAATTTTTGTGATGGGAGGTAGTTCATAGGACAGATGCCTCAGCAAAAAATGACTTGATTTCCTGCTCTTGATAAGTTCTCACTGACTGTTCACAGGTAATCTGATGCTAAAGTGCAATATAGACTAACATTTGTCGCCGAAAGCTGCCTTATTCAGAAACCTGGCTCTGCTCTCCAAACCCAAACTGTATTTCAGAGGACTGTTTTTAACAAAGATCTTGCACAGATGAGGCACATCAACCCATGACATAGGAGCTCTGCTCATTCTGTGTGAACCAGGCTTGCCAGAGCTCTTTCCACCCCTTCCCCCCTTTATTGGCAATGCTGGAATCTGGCACCAGTGAAATGTGCATACAGATAAGGTATCTCAAAGATCTTCAATTTTGTGCAGCTCCTGTGCAGCAGTGTGTTTCTTGTTATGTTCAAACCCCCTGTCTGCAGAGCTTCTTGTCCTGCTTTCAAGGTGCGCTTTCCCCCATCTCTTTCTTTATCAAAGTTGTGGTCAGAGGAGGAATTTTCCCTGGAGAAATAATGCTTATTTTTTTGGTGGGATTTTATTTTCCTCCACTAACTTACTTGAAGATGTATTGACTGCAGTGAGGACTTGCTCCCATATAATTTCTGCCTTTGAGTGACCTGTTCATGTTCAGATCTCAATGTGACAGAACGTGTGTGTTGCATTGGAGTGCTGTCTCCTCTGCTGAAATTTCTTATACATGTGGCATAGCCACGGGACAAATGCCCAGACCACATGCCCTGTCACCTTATTTAGATACTGCTGGAAGCCTGGGAGTGTCCCTGTTGTTTCATCTCTCTCTGGGGGATGTTTTGGCAAAACACTGCTGTAGTTCTTGTGACAATCCTCTTCACCTTCTGCTTCATTGCTTGTGGCTTGCCCAGTTTAAAACAATCTAGATAGAGATTTCCCTGAATTGCTGTACCTTTTTATTGCCAGGCAAGTGTCATTGTACGGTATGGAAAAAGCCTCTCTTTTTGGGTTTCAGTTTGACAGTCTGAGGGTTTGCAGCTCATGCTAGCAGGCAGAGCACAATTTAAATACCAATTTCCTAAAGCTCAGATAAAGAAAACATACTACATCTTTTCCTCACATATTTGGTCACTTTGTGGCCAGGGTGTTTGTATCAAGGGGAAGCAGTAATTTACACGGATAGTGCAGTACCTGAAATAGCAGTCTCTGGTGTATTCGCTACAGCCCTCAAACACATCAGAGGACTTGCTTCAATGTAGTGGCATTGCTTGTGGCACATGGAGAGGAATGGGGAATTGCAGTTTGCCAATCTTAAGAACCATCTTTGGTTAGCAGTGTTTCCCAAAGTTAGCCTCCTGTTGTCTTGAACTATGAACAGAACACACATTTTGTAATGGAACATGTATTTTATTTTATAATGGAAGAGTGACGGGGAATCAGTAACCAACCAAAAATACCCATCACCTACCCACCAGGAATGGGGTGGTCTAAATAGCAGCAGCAGCTGAGGACAATGTGAGTGCAGGGCAGGTGCCGTGAGGGCTTGGGTGGACACAAGGTGCTGCGTGGCTGGTGGCACTCGTGATTGTGGATGCCTTTCTGAGGCACCTCAGGTGCGCGGATCTGCACACACACATCTCTGGATGTGCATGTGCCTGTGCCCCAGCACTGCCACTCAGGGAGGGTGTCCATTCTGAGAGGAATGGGGGATGACTGCCATTCCTGGGGGATGCGTGCACCATGTATGTCCTTGTCCTTGATATCAAGCCCCTCAAGATTTGAGCCGTTCAAGATTTGAATCAAACTTTGCAATTTTTTTTTTTGTTGTTAGTCAGTAGCTGTAGCTAGACAGTTATGATTAAGCAATTGCATTGTGAATGTTGTATGTTTGGCTAATCTTTGTTTTAAGGAAAAGAGAAGACAATTCCAGGATAAATGGGCCATCTGGACAAGAGGCACCAAGAGTGAAGTCAGCAGAACTGAGCAGGAACTCAGGGAAAGGTAATTCTGGCAGTGGGGGATTGTGACCACCTACTCAAAATGGACCCCAGACTCAAATGGAGAGAACTGCCCCTGCAGACTAATTCTCATGAGAATCGAGACCTATAACTAGCAAATAGGGGTTTGAGTATTAATAGAAAAGTTATGTAACTTGTAACCAATGAATGCCGATGCCCTTGTTAAAATGTATAAAGAGTGTAAAGTCTTGATGACCAGTGAGCCTTTTGTGGGTTACCGCCTAGCTCCCCCCTTTGCGCAAACTGGAATAAAACTCGGAAATACGGTGTGTGAATTTGCGCTGCGCACCGGGAAACGAGTCGCGTTCGGGAAAACATCCTGGCGCGGGGCTCGCCGTGCCCGTGTACACGGCACAGACCCCGTAGTTCCACGCGCGTTTCTCAGCGACCGGTGCGGTGCGTGCTGAGGACGACCCGCCTGCCCCCCCGCCTGCCCCCCCGCCTGCCTCCCGCCTGCCTCCCGCCTGCCGCGCTCCGTGCGCGGGCGGCGCCCGGCGCTCCCGGCGCCCTGACGGCGGCTGGGCCGGTCATGGAGCGGCTGCAGGTGGAGGCGGAGGCCCTGGAAGAGTACGCGGAGTACCGGCGGTGAGGGGCCGGGGCCGGCGCGGTGGGGGTCGCTGGGGCGGGGTGCCGGCGGCGGCGGTGCCGCATCCCCCGTGTCCGGCGCGCGGCCCGGGATTCCTCCTGAGGAGATGCTCGCGCTCGCCTACCGCCCTCCCGAAGCCGCTCCTCCGGGGTTTGTGGCGGCTGCGTTGAGTCACATCCACCGCCCGCCGTTCACTGTCGCAGCCGGAGGTGCCGTGGCTGGTGTGCCCTGGTGCGGGCATGGCGTAAACGCTGTGCAGCAAAGGAACGCGTCGTTCACCGCATCCAGGCCCGCCCAGCAGCGTGTCTGTGTGATGTGCTGTGAGAGGCCATATGGGCTAGCAGGGAGGTTGGAACTAGGTGATCTTTAATGTCCCCTCCAACCCAAGCCATTCTGTGATAATCTGACAGCTGTACTGCTTTCAGAAAACACGGTCTTCCGTGCATCATGCGTTCTAGTTTTGCACTCTATAACCCCTCATACTACTTTGTGTGTCTTTGCTAATCTCGTCAGCACTCCTCTCGAAAGGCTGAGCAAAAATAAACGTGAACACAGTCATTGTGCTGAAGTGTGATCTGAATTTAGCTTAGGAACAGTTAAATAAAACACGAGAGGAAGGCACAGTGGTATTTCTTACATAAGGTGTACAGTGATTCAGTGGGCGTTGGCTGGGTTGATGTGCAAATGACAGCGATGTGTTGGCACCTTATTCTGGTGCTGTACAGTACTGGCAATGCACAAATCCACAGAATATTTGACACAGAATGACTCATTCAGTGTGTTTTAGGGCACCCAACAAATAATAACTGAAATATTTACAGACACTAATAAACTAACTTTCAGCATAGCTAAGTGTTGCAATTAAGTCTTAATTGTATTTTACAGGTTTTACTTATTGTTATCAATTGTTTCTATAAATGCAGAATATGGATGCAGCTCAGGAGTTCCAGATATTCAGTGACCTTGAATTTGAATACAGTGGGCCTGTCTGAGTTGTGGGATACAGCTCCCATCAACTTTAGCTGCAGAAACTATCATAACCTTCTTGCAAGTTAGAAGACAACTTCTAATGTGTTGTTTGTTACTTTGATGGCAGTTTGTTTTCCTGCTTGCAGTTACTCTCAAACTAGACTAAGATTAAATCACTTGATACGAACAAGTCTGCAGTACAGTTAGGTGTAGATGGGTGACGTGACTTGCCAGAGATCATTCAAGAAGTCTGATGCAGAGCTAGCTGGTTACACAACCCTTGATACTCATTGCATTTTCTGCCATATGAAAAGGAGTGCTGTGTAGTTTCCTTTATTTTTTCCTTTTGTCTTACAAGACTGTTTTTCAGTCTGTCAGAGCAATTTTTTCAAAAGAGCATTATTCACAAAATGTCTCTAAAGATCAGCTATAGTTCTGTTAAATGTATATCACTAGAACAGTATTACGAAATACAAGATTTTCTTTTTGCATCTACAGCAAAAGTACTGTTATATATTATTTGAAAAAATATCTGGAGAAATCTACTTTTATTGTCTTCATATCCTTATGGTTCTTTTTATAACATGCTCACAGAATTGTAGGTGATGATGATGGAGGAAAGCTCTTTACTCCTGAGGAATATGAGGAGTACAAAAGAAAAGTACTACCAGTTCGATTACAGAACAGGTTGTATGTGAGCTGGAGATCACCAACTGGCATGGACTGTAAGCTTGTGGGACCAGAGACACTGTGCTTTTGTACTCACCGGTAGGCAGCTTTTCTTTTTTCATACCACTGTTTTTTTAAAAATCAGGAAAATGTAAAGTATTTCCAGATACGTTACAGTACCACATAAGCAAGTTAATTTAAGGCCTGAGGGTTGAGAAAATAAGGTTTTAGACAGTAAGAACTGTTCTTAAATCTAAATCTCAATAAATTTTTGAAACCAAAATGGTTTTGCAGTCTTCAATAAATTCAGCTTTAAGGTATGAGTTATTGTAGATCATATTGATTCTGATAGTGGTATCAAAACAAAACATAAAGATCTGTGATATTTATGTGATAAATAGTTGTAAAAGCAGCTGATACTATGCATTTAATTAAAAATTAACAATTAACAGTAATATAATTAAGGATACTTGAAACCCAAATTTGCGAAGTAAATTATAAGGCTCTCAGTTACTTTTCTGATAAATACTAATAAAGTTATGAAAGTTATTATTTTTACCTCTTTTAGGTATAAACAACACAGAACAGACTATGAAGTGCTTCCCAAAGAGCGTCCTATTTGTGTGCCTTGCAGAGTGAGATGTTGTCCATGCCAGTCCTACCACTATGTCCCTCTGAATGGCACCCAGCCCATCCGCTGTAGATGCAAACACTTTGCTGACCAGCACAGTGCAGCACCTGGATTTCCATGTAACTCTTGTAAGTTATGGATGGGCTTGCATCATTCTTTGCTAGGAAACTCAACAGAAACAAGAAGTTAGGGATCTGTATTTGTCCCTGGGTATTAGGTATATGCTGCACTTGTCACTGATGTGTATTTTGATCCTTGAAGGAGGATGAGAAGTGGGAAGGAAGACATCACCTTTTGCAGGAGGGTTTAGAACAAGATCCTTGGCTTCCCCAAGTCCTGTGAAGGAGCATAAGTTTCTGAATGATTTAGTTAGGTGCTTATGGGGACAGATGCCTGAAGTTAGGCAGTATGAAAGCACCGCATTTGCAGTTTGTCACTTCCAGCTGCATGCACATGACTTTTCTACCTGAACTTGGTAGTTTGTGAGAGAGAAGGGTTGATCTCCATTCCTCTGTTGCCTAGTTGAATATAATGTTAATGTATCTTTTCTCAGTTCCATAGGAAGTAGCACTCTGTTCTCAAATAATACTGTTGTTAGCACTCTAACAAAGCAGTTCCTGAGCATACAGATTGTGAGTCCAGAAAGGTAAATGGGAATGGAGTTTCAAGGAAGAGCTTTGAAAAAGGATTAAGAGGAAGTTTTTTGCTTCAGTTGTTTGAGGTTTAGGTAATGAAACAGCAGTAGTTATTGACCACATAAAATAAATAATGCATAGAGATGTTGTAGTTTGAAATCTCAGATTATGTAAGCTGAAGATTTTTTTTGCTAGAGTTCTGTTATTAAATTTCTTTCATAAAATGTCACTATTTTGTACAGGAAAAACTGTAAACAGCTTTTACTGTTTGGGAATTATATCCCATAGAATAAATCATAAAATATTTATATGACAGCCTTTCAAGATTTGCTCTAAGTAATGCAAAAATCTTAAATGTGCAATTGGACAATTCCGACTGAATCCGTAGAACACAGTGTTTTCAATAATAATATATATTATGCACTTTTTTCAGTGTTTCTCAAAAATACTGGACACTTCTAAGGGATTCAGAGATTTCACAGAGAAGTGTCAAGACTTGCTTCTGGTTTGGACTTGTGTTGTTTTAATGTAATGGTATTAGTTTAGTTCAGTGTTGATAAATCTAATGTGATAGATAAATTATAATTGAAAATACTACTGTTACACTTTATATATCATATACAAACTGCATTCTGTGTCCAAACACAGAATACAGAGCTCTGTTACCAAGGAGTGCCCAAAATTATATGAAAAAGCCTTTAACATTCTCAAGAATATGATCCTCGAGCATTTAACGCAAGACTTAAATCTTTCTTGGTGCTCTGCAAAATTAACTGTGAGTTGAAAGCAGAGTAATTTGTATAATGAAACATTTGCAAAATCAGTTCCTCAATTTCTTGGTCACATCACTGCTCCAGCAGGGCTTTGATGACAGTTTTATCCCCGAGTTTAGGGCAGATAGGTCACTTCACTCCGCTCTGTTTCTGAATGTCACATGACACGTGTATAACTATTTCAGTTGCATCCTATGACTATGTGAGGTTAAAAACCCCCGTGAAAGTTAGTCTAACTGTACTCTTGTGTAGAACCCATTTTGCTGTTGCCACAGTCTCTGTTTACTACTGAGATAATTTTGCTGATTTTAAAAGACATTTAAATTGTGATTTATATAATATATTATGATATGAAGCTTTTTGGCCATGCAACACTGCCATGTGCTGTACAACTCTGGAGGCAATATTGCCAAAATGCTGGCATGTTGTCATCCTTACCAGTGTCAGGATTTCTTATCCCTTTATTTTTTGTCAGTGGATAGAGAGGAGTGTTGTTAATGGCAATGGACACAAGTTACAACACAGGAAATATAGTTACATATCAGAAAAGAAATGTCTGATCCAGCATTGGTCCAAGCTGCTGAGGAGGTGGAATCACCATCCTCAGAGGTACTTGAAACTGCATGAGACCTTGTGACTGGATGGGCTTTATGATCTAATCTCCACAGTGATCCTTTATGTTTATACGATTTTTTGATATAGCTGGATGCTTTTGTAGTGAAGGAACTCTAGTTTTTTACGAGATCAGTTTAGGAAAACCATTTTGTCTGCAATGAGGTATAAATTCCATTATCATCTCACTCATTTTTTTTTTATTAGGTTCCAAGTGTTCAGGCTTTCATAGTTGCTTTACTTGTGCATGTGGTCAGCCAACATATGCTCATGAAACAGTTGTGGAAACCAAAGAGGAGCGCTTGGCCCAAGGAAAGCCTGTGGGGCAGGATGTTCCTTATGCTGCTATGGGAGGACTGACTGGTTTTAGTTCCCTAGCAGAAGGCTACATGAGACTTGATGACAGTGGAATAGGTAAGTGCAGCTGACCTGAGATGAAGTTTTAGTTCTCCACCTAAGTAACTTTGAAAAGTACTAAATCAAAATAGATTTTCAAAGTTTGAAGGCAAACTGGATCAATGGGAATAGGAATGCAGATAGATTTTTTTTTTCCAGCACTCCTTTGGTGTGAAGAGATCACTGTGACCGTGTTGTCCAACTTCCTGTACTGAATTAATAAAATAACTCTTTATCAACAGTTCTGGTGTTCAGCTCAGTTGCTTCTGATTGAAAGGCAGCATATCTTTTAGAAGGAACTGTAACTTCTCTTTTTCTCTTAATACTTCCACATTATATTTATGTTAATCCTTTAGCCTAATAGTGCCCACGAATTTCTTGGTTATATATTTCCAGCATTTTTGTTTTCAAACTCAAAGGTTAATAGCTGTTCAGCTTAAAAAACCAGAGATAATTCACAGAACAGACGTGTTAGTTGGCCTTGATACTTCTGCTATTCTGTGATTTTGTGTCATTTAATAATGGATACATTTTGTCCTGAAATACTGTTTTATCTATAATTGCCATATATTCATTATTTCTTTTTTAAATTCTGATCTGGTTTCCTGGATTTGTCAGAAGTTTAGAAACTATGGTATTGCCATAGTAACTAAAGAAACAAAGCTTTCCATTTCTTTCGAAGCCATCCTTGTAATGCTTTTGTTAACTCAAGTTTATGGGGACTGCACTGAGAGTTGTAGATACGAATTTGTAGCCTTGTTTTGACCCCATCATGTATATTAGGAATCTATCTCATGAAGTTAATTATTGTTTTCATTTGACTTATTTTCTAACAGGTGCTCCTTCTGCTGAACTTTTAGAAGCCCCTGTTACCAGCATGGATCATCCATTTCTAAAAGCATTTCAGGGGCCTTCTAGTTCTGCTCAAACCATCTCACAGAGAGCAGGTGATGTTTAAGTAGGATAACACTGTTATACAAAAAGAATTTAATATAAAATTAAATGATTTTAGTAATGAATTGAAGGATGATTGAAGGGCTAAAATAAAAGTTAAACATTGAATATAGAAGCCTTGTTATGTGAAAAGTTAATACAGCATTCATGTACTTGAAATGTTTACAATAACTGTTTTCTTAATGCTTGTTATTTCTGCTCATGATGTGGTTTTTACCTGAAATGATTTTCTCCTAGCATTTGTTATCTTCCCCATTAATGGTGTCACCTATTCATTGGGTCAGTTTTTAAAATTTTTAATTCCTATGAGAAGCTCATTATATCTGAACTGGTTGTATATATTCAGCATAATCCTGTGAAACTGCCTTCTGCCAGAAAGTCTTTTCTAGATGGAATCAGAGATCAGTTATGCCTATTTTATGTCCCTTGTTTAGTATAAAAATTTAGCGATTACTCTAACTGTTGAACTTCTCCAAGACAATTTATAATAGCTGCTAGCCTAGATTAAAGAGGTTTCTCTTTGATCCCAACTGCTTTGTTTTGTACTTGCCTGTAAAGGTGAGTTCTCATTATACATGTATTTTGCCAAATGTAAAACATAACTAATAGAATAACAAGTATCCTTAATGAAAAAGGAGTTTTGCTTTTTTGTTTTGTTTGTTTGTTTGTTTTTCAGGTAGTTCAAGTGCCACAGGGCAAATTTCTCATGGAAAACCTTCAGAAGAAGATGACATGGCTTACTTTGAAAAACGTTATCAAGAACGGGCAAGTTACCACATTTCTTCGCTAATTTAAATACACTTTCACAAGAGGGTGTCTAAAATGCTACATATGTGATTTAAGTAGCATATAAATGTATTATATAGTTACTTCTCTTGTTCCTGAGGAAGCACTAGCTTCTTAACATAACGTTTTAAATACAGTTAAGGGCTATTATAGGATTTCAGAGGCCAGTCATGTGGGATGCCATTTACCTTAACTGGACAGATTTTAATTAAGTAACCTGCCATTACAGAAAACTGAAATATTTTACTATGTGACAAAAAGAAACGACAAAGCAGACTCACAGCAAGTCCCCTGTGACATTTAGGACTGTGTGTTTGCTACCTCATTTATAAAATTCATAGTTTTTTTTTTTAATGAATGTCTGAATAAATTGGGCTAAATCTGGTCTGTCTTTCTTAGATGATCTGTATCACTCCCTTAGAGGTGTCTCCTCCACCCCACTGACTATCTTAAATTTAAATGCCCTGTGGTATAGGTTACTTACATGCTTAAATACCAATTCTTTCCCCACATAAGCTCCTTAGCTCCGCCATCTCAGCTGAAGTGTGTATTGACTGTTTATGAATTCTTTTGTAAGGCAGAATTAACTTTGTTGCATAATTAACTTTTAAAATCGAAACTGCTGTTATGCTTGGTGCTTGAAACAAGGTGTTTGTTAAAGAGAAAGCTGTTCTAGCTTTGTGAAATGTTAAATAGCTTTCCTTATTTTGGAAATAATCACAAAATATGGTCCGATGTTAAAAATATTATATCAATTAATAGAAAACATGTTACTATCAAATCCAAATTCCTCCATTTCTTTCCCCCCCCCAGGATTTTATTTGCTTTGCAAAAGGTAGTAGGAATTTCAGCTACAAACCTCAAGCCTCCAAATAAGGAAAAATGTTTTAAAATCAGCTCCTGTGTAGACCAACAACAGGATTGCTTAGCAGTGAGTTCATTTGTAGGGACATCCAAATGAGGAATGAGGCTTGACTTCCTTTTGACATTATTTTATGAGAGGGAAAAAGCATGTTATTTTTTTTTCTTGCGTTTTTGTTAGCAGTGTGATATCTAGTATTAGATGCAAAAACCCATGCACTCTTTTTATGTAATTACTCTAAACTTAATTTCATTCACTAATGTAACAATACGTGAGAACAATAGATATATTGGTTTGGATTGATAGTCTTATTACAAAATGGCATAGTTAAATGTATATGTGTTGGTAAATCATACCATGCTGTAAGAGCCTACTGTGTAGACAAAATCTCACGAGAGGAAGTCATGACCTTGTGGGTCAGTGAGGAGACACTGAGACGGAGATTTAGCATCTATCTCAGCACCATTCCTTGTTGACTTTGTGCATGCTGGTTCATCTAACTGTATCTGTTAGACATCTGTAATAAAGCTGCTTTACCTTACACAGAGATAAACTCATGAACATTTGTGAGGCACACTGGCCTTGAGGAATACATAAGTACCTAGATTGCCATTATCAGAAATAAGGCAGCCCTGGTTTGAATAGGGGAGGAGCAGTAGAGCTATGAAAGTGCTCCTTTGTCCTATGCTGCAAACATAAGCAATGCTAGGTTGGGTTAATAATGCTCTGTAGCTCTCTTCACTGTATGTATCACTCTGGTAAATTTGTGGTTGGATGTAGCAATTTAATATTGCATTGTTAGCTGACTTGCAAATTAGTGCTTCAACCGTTGTTGATGTCTTTTCTTGTTACAGCTGAAAATGGAGAAAGCTGCTAAACGGAGAGGGAAAAGTCCAGTGCCATCAAAGAAGCCATGAGATTAATAAATAAACAAATAAATATTTATTATTTGGCACACTGCTCAGATTGCATTGAGTATTTTTCTCTGTGCCTACCTGCATACTTCTGTTTTTTAATTTATTTATTCTGTTGTTTTGTTATTTTACTGAAATTAATTTTTAATTATCTTGTTATAATAAAATTGATTCTTTAATCAATGTGTTTCTAATCTCCAGAACTGTTACATAGATATTTATTTGAGAATGGAAAATCATATTTAGAGAGTTGCAGAACTGTTATTTAAGGTCTGAGAGAATAACCATATGTTTAAATATTAGGTTGTCAGAGGGCAAAAAAAATATGTCTTAGACTTCTGTGACACATTTTCTTTATTTGTAGAGTCCTTTGAACTCATCTTGTTAATGGATTTTTACTTGGTGGGATTTGTTCTGTTAATATTGACATTTTAATATTTCCTTTAATTTTTTTTTCTTTTCTGTTGGCTTCATCTCCTTTACATAAAATTCAAACATACCGTTATTCTGTCACACTTCTCTAGGCTCTGTTCTTGCCATCATATAAATATTTTTTACATGTGGCATTCTGTACTCTTGTAAATCCATTTCCACACTTATGAGCTACTTGAAGGGATCTTGCTTGTATACTTTATCCCAGATTTCTCTGGTGGTACCATTCTCCCAGATTTGCTTGTCTGTTACTGTCCATAACAACTATTACACTACACTTCTGAAAACATTAAGTGTAAATGGATTTGTTATTTATTACATGTAAATAAATAATTGTATTGTGTTTGATACAATTTATTTATCCAGCAGATTCATTATGTCTAATCCAACACAGACTGAGGAGATGTGCTTTTGCATTCTTTGTCCATATGCACAGCTGTGGCAGCATATGTTGTATTAAAGGTAGCGGACAGGAAAATATAAAATTTGGTGACTTTGTGTGGTAGTTTAATTCTGTGAAGCAGCACAGCAAGAACTTGGTATGGAATAACTGGCAGAGGGTGCAGCTTAGGACATAAAAGCAGAGCCCGAGCTAACTTATTCTCCTTTGAAAAGAGAGAGGTGTAAGTCAGTTTGTCCTTAAAAATACTTGAAGATGTCTCTTGGACTGGAGAGTTTACAGATAGTTATGTGTGTACTGAGACTTTACAGCAAGAACTGGGAGAAGCTTACAAAGCTTTGTTTCCCGTCTGAGAGAAAGCCTCTATGTGCCTGATCGGCAAAGAGGTGAGTTTGAAGGCATTTAGTGCAGGGCAACTTGCTTTTTTGTTCAGACAGGGAAAGAGAGTTCTTAGGAGTGCATGTGGGTCACACAGTGAGTGATGGAGACAGCTGGAATCTGAATGAGATGGGAGTGGAAGGCTCAACTGCTGAAATTCAAAGATTTAAGAGAGCCATTTGCCTTAATTCTGACCTATACAGCCATTACTGCAGATGCCAATCAGACAAGCTAATCTGTTACTTTAGTTTAAATGCATAATACATCAAAGCGACTAATTAATGTTATAAAAGTACCTTTACTGTTAAATTCTACACAGGTACATGCTGCTTTATCCTAATAAGTGAAAATACTAATTTGAGCTCCCTCTTCTGGCCCTGGCAAGATATCCATTCTACGTATCCTCTGCTTGGTCTTGTAAGTAAATGGAGATTTCACAATGAAATCACGAGAAAAAAACCCAAATATAAATAACATTGGTAAAAAAAAAAGGTTACTAAAAATATAGAAAAAAAATATTCAGTTTTCAGAGAGATTATCACAAGCTTAATAGAAGAAGTTTATTCTAGTTTTGGATATATCCCTGTGACTTTACCCACTAGGGAATGCAGTTCTGGAAACGTATGTGTGTGTTTCAGGGATGAGCTTTCTCACAGAGAAATATTGTTAAAGGCAGAGGTTTTAATAGTTACAATAAACTTGTATTTTGCATTCCTTTTTATACTGATAACATAACTCTTGGGGAAAAATGTATTCTGCTTTTTTGACATTACAAGTTGAAAATATTTGTCAGTTTTAAATGTTAACTCTGCCAAATTCAGCTCTACTAAGCTCTACTTTGATCATCATGAACTGGTTTTGTTAAAGTAATTTTAAAATTTTTTTATTCTGTGCTTAAATTTATTTAATGTTTCCACTTAAATGATACAAAAACATTATTACATTTATTTTATGGTATTACTTTTTAGTTGGAAAACAGGTTGGATCATAAAAATATCAACTGCATTTAAATATTACTTAGGAGTTCTGACCACTTTTCACTCATGTTGAGGATGTCCAAGGAAAAGAAACTCAGTTTCCTTACTAGAAGGCATACTTTTGCTTCTTGGTATTCACATAATACTTTTTAATGAAATTTTATTTATATCTGTACATGAAAAACCTGGTACAATTCATCTCAACATTGCTGGCTGTCAAAAAAAGGAACTCAGATGTCATGTCTTAAGTGAAATTTGAATTTATCCTAAAAAAAATAAATTTGTAGCATAAAATTGCAACCTCCAATTCTATTGAAAAATCTCTTTATACATCTATTACAAAAGAATTTTTTTAAAAATAATATAAAAGCAGAGACCAAATGCTAGTGTGTTTGCCATTAACAGTTGTCATTAAATAAAGAGCTCATTTTAACTGGTATTTGTTGATGGTTTGCTTTCCTGAGAGCAGCCATGAACTTTGAACAAAATATCATAGAACAGATAAGAACCATTCATGTGTATGATTTATTGGTGGGCGTTTATCAGTCGTTCAGCTAGACACATTAACTCTTTCTGACCCTGATCCAAGGAATCAGGCATGAGGGAAAGGCTTTGTTGTCATACACAAGAGTGCTCTAAACTGTTAAAGCCTAATCCTATAGGTCTTGGGCAAAGATTAAGTGATCCTAAGTGGAGGGCAAGGGCCTCCCTCCCATCCTGGGTGTTTCTGATGCTAAATATAAACCATGTCTGTCTGTCTCAGGTTCGGGACAAAGGGGAATGTGATGTGTGAATTCACGACCAGTAATGGCACCCGTGCAGATTTACTTTGTCAAGCTGTCGGTGTCTTTACAGCATGTTGTGCATATTAAACAGTTGGTGGTCTTGTGGCTGTATGTCCCTGGAGCATCTCTAGAAGTGGTTTGTAGCCATGTGGCCTAAGAAAAGAGACAACTGTGCAGGTAGTGATAGTATTTTTTCTTAGCACAAAAATAATTGAAAACAACAACAAAGGTCTTCCAGTCTAAAAGACCTTGCACAGGTGTACCTGTTGTTGGGTGTTTTTTGGGTAACTAAATATAATACTTTTGCCTAGAAGCCTAATCTCGCTTTGGAGTCTTTAGCATTTTTCTTTTGGTGGAGTGAATCATTCCTTGCTTCACACTGGTTTTGCATTCGCTGTACCCATGCTGTCTGGCACAGCTGGGCACTAATCTCACAGGTTCCTTCATTTAGATCCCTAGGGAAGGTCCGAGGCTCAACCATAACATGTTGCCTACATAGTGCTGTGTTATGGGCAGAATGGGAGCTTCAAACAAAATTTATTGGAGAAGCCTTCCCGCTGGGTCAGGAGGTGCAGCAAGGACCCCTTGCTTACTGAACTCCTGTTCAGAGAGGAGTCTAGTTGGGGCTGGATCCAATCTTAACCCCAGACTTGGTCAACATTTAATGTCTAAACAATCATACAGAGGTAATTGAACAACTTTATCCTGCAGAATTAAGGATGGCAAACCAGATATATTTATATTATTTATATTTATATTTATTACGATAAGGATTAGACTAAAATATCATAATCAGAATTATTTACTACACAGTATAGAAGTTATAACTACTAGTATAGTACAGTGCACTATTTTGAAGCAATAGTGAAGCAATTCTATTAAAACTAGCAAAGACAATTAATAAGTAGAGACTGGTGTTATTCACCCATACCAACGACTGTGGGCAAATATTTGCTCAGCCTCAAGTGAGGAATCTTTACGCGCACTCCAAAACCGGACATGGTAGAAGACCCAGCTATTAGAAAGTGGGACTGGGCTTGACTGTCAGTCAGTGACTGATTGACTGTCAGTCAGATGTCTCCAGGCCAGCTGCGTCAGCTCAGCAGCTTTAGGTAAGTTCTCAATAGTATCACTTGTTTGTTCCTTTATCAGGCACTTTATCAGCTCTGCCACATCTTCACCTCACCATCAGAATGTTTAACTTTGCAGTTGATGAATCAGACTCATCAACAGCTTTCAGAATCCTTTGTCACAGGTAGAGACACAGAGTATGACAAAGGTAAAGTGGGGTGTTTTTTGAAACCAACAAGTACATAATCCTATGCTTGAGGAAAATTTATTTTTTTTCTTTTCCTCAATATCACAGAATTACTGAATAGTTTGTGTTGGAAGGGCTCTTAAAGATTATCTAGTTCCAAACCCCTGTCATGGGCAAGGACACTTTCCACTAGACCATGTTGTTCAAAACCCCATCCAACCTGGCCTTGAACGCTTCCATGTTGTGGGCTGCCATGTTGAAGAAGCTGTAACATTTTGGGCACAGATTAATTCAGAAACCTATTTGATTTTAACTGAAATGTTTAATCTTATCTCCTCCCCCTCATCAAGTTTCTGTATAAGTGAGCAATTTCAGAATTGCAAGTATTATTATTCCCTTTTAAAGGGAAATTTTAAACAGTTACTCTTTTCTGAAATGTCAAAAAGAATTTTCATCCAGTGAACGCATGATGAATGAGAATATGTTGGACAAATATGTTTGTAGCTACGCTTTCTTAAATACTTGGTAGGTCAAAAAAAAATCGATAGCTAAAATATTTGCTATTGACTGAGGAATACTGTATGAGGCAGTTGGAGTCCTGCTGGGGGTGGATCTCCTACCCTAAAAGTGTCAATTTTTGTATAGATGGGCAGGAGGATGTTGGATGGGGAAAGTGAGAAAAAGTAAAAAACCCCAAACAATTAATGGTTTTCTTTGATGTGGGGCATGTAGCAGGGAGAGGGGAAAATCCAGAAGGAGTACCACATCTTGCCTTTCCTGTTTGGTCTGCAGGCTAATCAGTGTGTGGTCAACATCCCTGTAGCTTTCAGCCAGTTGGTGGAGGTAATGCTCCTTGTCATGTTCCCAATAGGAATTTGGGAAGGGGGACCAAATTTTACTCATTCTGTTTATGGAATAGCTTTTTATAATAAAGGGATTTTTATATGTAATAGTCATACTTAATTCTCCCCTTGGCATTCTGCAACTCAGTTGCAGTGTTTTATTTAATATTGTAAGGTACAGAAGTTAGGAGTGTGTTTCTAAGGTTAACTAAATGTTTGGTTGCACAAGTGTTTTCTTTCCAGCTCTGAGCTCTGGATCCTTTCCTTGGAGTTATGAGTAGAATGGTGTCTACTGAAAGCTATGTTACTGGAATTGACCTAGTTTTACAGTGGTTCAGATACTAAGTTGTAAGTGGAAAAACTCTTCTTCTCTCAGCCAAACCAAAACACAAGTTTTGCATGTAAAGAAAACGAAGGGTATGGCAGAGCTGTTGTCTCCTTTTATTAAATAGTGAAAGAAAACAGATACCACATCCATACTAACATTTGTGAGGATTGATAAGTAAGATCTGCAGACAGCTAGCTGGTAATTAAACTGTTAAAATTGTTCATTGCAAACTATTTCTCTGAGGTACATTACCTGCCCAGATCTGTTTCATTAATTCTTGGAAGAAATTGAGAGCAAGCTTGCAAGTGCACCTAAAATCGTGAAGACTGAAAGATTAGGGTGGGGCATTACTTGTCTCAACAGCTGTGCAACTATTTTGATTTAATTTTTGGCTGTTATAAGCCATCAAGTATCTATTAAAAATGACAGTTAATAACTTTTATGCTCTCTCCACACTTTGAATGTCAGTAGATGTAATCACCTCTTGAAAATATGTTGTGCGCTGACTGAAGCTTGTCCTTGTACTAATGCAGTTTTTGGCAAACCTGATTTTAGTAAGGTAAGTAGGTTTTGTATGTGGGTTTTTTTTTCACCTGCATATAAAAGCTTTAATTCTATGCAACCACTGCTTAAGTTATTCTCTTTATCTTTGATTATGCTGTGGGCTCTATTCTCTAAGTTCTCTTTAAGAACTGTTGGCTCTCCTAAAGAAAACACTTATTTTGTGTGAGCAAGTCTGGCTGGACTTCACACTTCAGTAAAATTATGGAAACACTGTTCTTTTTTTTAACACTCATGAAATACTACAATAAGGTAATATACAGAATGCTGCATTGTGTTTCTTTGTCCAGTATACTTCATGGGTTTTTCTTTCACAAGAGAGCAATGCTTTTTTCAGAGAAGTGGTTCTTTACTCCATCTCAAGAAGCATGAAAGATCTTTTAAAAATCTGTAATGTTGAATGTGCTGGATAAAGTACTCTTGAGAAGATAACCAGGACATATTTAGTAGCAGTTCTATGACAAACATCCAAAGGGAGCTTTTGGCTCTGATGGAAATGACCTGAAAGAGTTGCTAATCACTATTAAGAGACTGATAAAGAGGGCTAATAGTTCCTATTTAAAATCATCATTTCTAGACAGGCTGTTTGGCATGGAAACATTAGATTACATATCTGGCCATAAAAAGTCTTCTATATTGCTTCTTAATGGTAGCCTTTAGAGAAAATAATTGCCAGCAGAGATCTGTTTTGTTACTTAAAGTTTTGTCACTAAGCTTTTAGACAGGTACCAGCACAAAAGATTTCTCTCAGTTCCTTCCTCTGAAGTGTATCTGGGCTTAGTATAGAAGATTCTTATCTCTTCAGCGTGCTTATATTCTAGTAGTTGTCAGTGCACATTTCTGTAGGAGGTTTGAATAACCTCTGCTGATTTATATTTTATCTTATTATGCAGTGTCAGGTGTTGTACGTTGACTGTGGAAAATCTTAAATTCTGAATAGACCAAAACCAGTTAAAATTCCACCAAACTTGCAATGTTTGCAGTGTTGATAAGAAGTACAGACTCTGGGCACTGCACAGACCAGCTGATCAGAACTTAAACATGTGTAACCAGGTGAGTAACAGATTTTATATAATTTGGATTACTTGACCTGAAGCAGATGCTGCCAAATACCCACGCAGTGTTCCCGGGAGGAGTCCTCTGTTTAACTGTGAAGGCAGGGCATGCTGGGAAGGACCGTCTGATCTGTTGCTGTGAACCTACTCTAGGAATTAAATGGTTTGGTCAAAAATGGTTCAGACTGTGCTGGGGAGGTGATTTTTAGAGTGCGCTTTTGCCATCTTCAGAGCCTCAAGTCTATTTCTGTCTGACCCAAGTTCTTTCTGTCACTACGGAAACAAAGTACCTCCGTTTCTTTCCCTTCAGAGGAAAAACATACCTCCCTTGGTCACAGAACCTGTGATAAATTCACTTATATCCATGAGCTGCTTGAAAGCCTGGGTACTATGCAAACTTTTGGTCAAGAGAAAGAATAGCAGGTGGGAGTAGGAACGCTGTTGTTCCTGGCCAGCACTGAACATAAAAGTCTCAGGAAGTGATGGCAACAGGACTGGTAAGTTTTACCAGTGGTGGTCTCATTTTTTGGGACACCTTTGACAGTCATAGCATGCCACTTCAAGGATTGTCACTGGCATTGCCTGTGCTTCACTAGCCAGTGGCTTGGGAGCAGATGTTGTGGGAGGAGGAGGAAGTAGGAAGCATCTGTCCAGCTTGCCTCGTCTATCATATAGAAGAGATCCCAAGAGCCCTTGTGCATGGCCTCATCCCCATGGTCCTATTGACATTACTAAATGTGATTTCAAAGACAGATAAAAATCTCTGTTGTCAATTCCCTGAGGTTTTATGTTTTTTTCTTTTTTTTTTCCTTTTTTTTTTTTAATAATAGTTCTTACTGCTCAAGCTAAAGCTTTATTTGCTTGTTCTGTGTAGCTTTCCTGACCCTACAACTTCCATTCTTAATTTTTAACAAAACCAGCTTGTTTTCAGAAGTGGTGGGGAAATTAGAAGGAAACCCTGTCAATAAAAGATAACTTTCTTGCAGATGTCTTGCAAAGATCTTGAATACATTCCCCAGTCTTTCAAAACTGTGAAACTGGTGAAACTGGTGTCTGCCAATTCTGGCATTTCCCAATTTCTGCATGAATAGTTTGAGTAAAGTAAATTTCAAAAGGAATTGGATAACCCACTTGCCAACTTCTATTGAGAGTTGATGGGACTTTGGACTTCTGTCAGTTATGATACTGAATTCTTCAAGGCTGAACATTGAGGGAGAGCTATTGGTGTTGAAGTCCAGTCTGATGTTGACAGTGATTAGGTCAGGCACAGTTGTAGTTATACAGGTAGTAGCATTGTTTCAGAACAAATGTGTTGAACATAAGATTTACCTGTGCAGCTATTTGGGTTTTGGTTTTAAAGATGCCATCTTTTTCTCAGAAGAGAGATGGTGGATTTCAGCTTAAAGTTTTCTGAGTGTCCAGTATGCAACTTCATCATATCTTTATTTTAGAGGGGAAGAAGTTTTTGAGCAGCCTAGCTTTTGAAAAAGAAATAAAAATACATCACAAAACCAAGCATAAAGATGGTACCATTGTTGCCCAGGCAGAATACAAAAAAACAGATATTGGAGAAGAGGTGGTCAAGACAGGGTTTACTAAAAATACACATCTCCAGGAAACACTAAGGATGAGGAAAAGAAAAGTAGCTGTCACACAAAACTAACATTGGAAGGTAAAAGTTTCAGTTCTACGGTGGGTAAACAGCTCTGATCAAGCACTGTACAGCACCCCAAGAGGATGCTCTGACCAAGTAGCTGCCAGCTCAGGGAATCAGAATTTTACTGGAAACCATACATTCGGCCCAAAGCAAGCCAGTGGAATGTCACAGGGCAATTGGTGTGAGTGATCTGATTAGCCCAGTTGCCGGGATGGTGGTATATAAGAAGATGGAAGTGGGTGCCTAAAATACAAATTTAAATCCTTCTCTTTCCAGCATCAGGTAGTACTGGTACTCCATGGAAAGGAAATACATGTGAACATGTGTGCATGCTGTCGTGGTTGGAATTAGGACATTAATCCATAGAAAACTATGCATTAGTAGTCTTGCTGCTTGGAGAGCTTGCTCTTCCTTGTTTGATTTTGAGAGACAGTTCCTATGTATCTTAATGCAAGATTTTGAAAAGAAGGAAGGGGTAGCAGCCTGTAAGCAGAGGAGAAGATACTAGAAAGCTTAGCTGAAAGTAAAGGTTGCACGATATTGGGCCTCTAAGCAGATTTTGCAGTGATAGCCAATGCAGTGCTGCTTGTTTTAGCATCTGTGTAATTTCCATAGGCTTGTCCTTGAGCTTTTTTGTAGCTATCCCCTCCTATTTATCTCTATTTAGAACTCACTGGACAAAAATATGGATTGTAAAATTACACTTACCTAGCAGGACAGACATATTATGGTGATTTATTTGTGTGGGAATGTAAGAGTGTGTGCTTATAAGAAATAAAGCCAGTAATCACAGTTTGAAGTAAGCTTTAGGGGATAACGGTTTGTCTGCAACTTGTAATTACATTGACAAGAGGTGGTGGTAAGTTGGCAGATACAGTTGTTGTCAGAAATCTTTTTAAAGAGACTTGTCCTGCAGTTGCTAGGATTGCCATGGCAACGGGCTGCTGAGGAAAATGTTTGTGGGTGGGAAAAATGTTACTTGGCATTCAGAAAGTTGAGATGGTGTAAGAAATATATATCAAAAAACTTATTTAGAATTTGCCAGTGTTCCATAATTTGAGCTTCTTGAACATTTTAAAGAATCATCTGAGGGCATGCCCTCCCACATACCAGCACAGTATCAAAGTCTGTTTTACAGTTAGATCATTTAGGCAGGTCTATGCTGTTAACATATATAGTAATATGAAATGAGGTGTTCTTCAAAATATTCCAACTTTATAGTAAAGTGCCTCATCCTGAATTATATTGATACCCTGATCTGCCCTGTTTTTTGAGCTACAGGTATGCCGTGAATCTGATTCTAAATAAGGAAGAGGGCTTTTTTCTTTTTGGCACACAGTGTTGAGGCACTTTATACATAAAAGTTGTCCTGACTGGCCTGAGCAGGAGGCAGCCAGGAGATTCTCTATTCCCTTTCTGTATATTTTGCACATCACAGGCATTTTTGGGGTGGTATGCCTGAGAAGAAAACAAGCTGGGATGTAATCAAAGCTGTGCAGGTGAGGATGGAGTTGATGTGGGATCTAGTGGAGCTCTGGTAGTGTACAGTATTGTCACAGTACTCGGAGACAGATGGCTTTACATCACTCCTCTCTGTTACAAAAACAACTTTTAGGGTATAGATCCCAACATTTAGTCTAAAGTGCTTTGGCTTATTTATTAGCTAGGAGATTTGAGTTACAATGGACTTTGACTTTTGTGGGTTTGTAGTGTAAGTGCGCATTGTAAGATGTAAGTGTATTATAATATGGTTTTTGGATGGAAAAGACTTTTCAGTTAGTGATGGGGAAAACATACAAAGGGTTGTCTGCAAATTATGTGATTTTTTAAAAATTAATTCCTCTTAATTCATTTTTAAAAGGAAAATATTCTAGCTTCTACCTGACTGCCAGACACCAGCTTGGGACACATAAGATCAGATCAGAGGCTGTCTGAAGAGAAACAAGTTCTCAGAAGGAAGAATATAAATCTCTTGCAGAAGCAGAAGAAATTAGAACTGAAGGTTCAAGAGCTGAAATGTGAACTTCAGGTATATGGCAATGCAAAATGGATACTTCTCACTGAGAGTGTTTCTGACAATAATTCTGTCTTATGGTTTCATCATTCTGCAGTTCAGCTCTGAACTGTTCTTTGGAATAGAGAAGGATTAAACTGTTTGAGTGAAGACTTGTCTTGCCCTGGTGCAGGGAGATGCTGTCAATATGTGTTAGCACAGGTTTTTCAGTCCAGGTTGGACCTGAGCTCTCCTTGGTGTATGTGCTGGCTTGCCACCATACTTGATGCAACTTCTGGTTTGTATGAAGGTGTTCAGGTTAACCACTTGGTGATTAAAAACGTGCTTTGTGAGTAAGGGTGTGATCTTTGCCTTTCTTTTTTTTGGTTGTTTCCTCACTTAGAGGAAAAAACAGTTTTCTGTGTGTGGGGCTGAAAATCTGTAAGCATCACAGAATCATAGCAGCTGTGGAATTTTAGAACTGCATAAAAATGAGTCTTTCCTTAACTGCTGCTTAATAGAAAGGATGCTTATGTTTCTTTCCAGGGGAGATTCCTAGCATTATAAGGGAAGCACAGTACTTAGTAATAGTTACTGGTGGGCTTAAAAAGGCTGTGAATGGTTTTAAGTGTGATAAACAGCAGAAGTATAAAGAAATTGTGTGAAAAGATGTTATGTATGCATGAATTTGAAAAATGTTGTGCAAACTCTTATCCCTACAGATATAAATGGAAAATCTGCCATTTATATTTATGTCAAATCCTTTTGACATCTCCAAACCCCAAATTTGCACACAGCTGTTTCTTTTCCTTGCAGACTAAAACTAGTCATAACTAGCTTTGCTACTTGGTTAACTTTTCCTAGAACATCCATTTTCTACATAAACTAACTTGTCATTGCATAGATTCTGCATCCACTGAAGAGATATTTGCTTCTATGCAAACTAAATTAATAAGCAACAGAATACATGATTGCAGCTAAGAAAAAACATTTAAATGCAAGAAAATCTTAGAAGCATTTCTTACATATAGTCTGATGATTTTTAAAAAAACACCCTGTTTTCTACAAATTTTAATTTCTGTTTTGTGTTGATTGCAAGTAAACTATTTTAAAAGAAAAGGTTATGGATATTCTTTTAAGTAAGAAAATATTTCCTTCCTGCTAAAAACGCTATGGTAGGCAACGATTTATTTGAGAAGGGTGTTGTGTTGTGGTGGCTTTGAGGGGTACTTCAAAAAACACCCTGCCATCATAAGACTTTGGATGCATATCTGCCAATACAAGCCTATTTATATCTCTATATGTTTTTGTTTTGTTCATTTGTTGGCATTTCTGGTTGTGTTTTTAATATCATGTAAATGAGTCCGAAAGGCTAAAAACATTTACAGTCTGTGTTTCGTTACCTGGAGTTTATAAAAACATCTCTGTGGAATCAGAGCAGGAGTTTTCATATTTAGGTTGCCCCTGGAGGAATAGAGCCTGATGTGGTGCTTGGGCTTTTTTTTGGGTCAAGAGTATTCCTTATTTTTTCTTAAGGATACTCCTTGTAGGAAGGTCAGGCTGGTTGTAGGTAAAACGAGAGGTTTGCTGCACTATTTAGAGGTGTGGCTGTGATGGGAGTGAGGAGTGTAATGGGACCCTGGACTTGATTTCCCTGAATTAACAGGTAGGAATTTTTCAACAGGGGGAGAAAAAAATTCCATGTTGTCTGAAGACTTGCTAGTAAATATGGAGTAACTGAAGAAATCCACTACTGAAATTAGAGGAATAAAATTAACTATTAAGCCCTACAAAGCTAATAATAAAATTATTCTCATTGGTTTGTATGTCTTTCTAGGCATTTTGTTAGTGTTTTGAGGAGGGCCAGCTCTGTGTGTGTTTATCTCTAGTTTTCAAAAGTCTAAATTGTAGTCTCCATGTTAGTCAGCCTTGGCTGACTGTTGTGACTTTTGATCTATCTTTCCCTGACATTGTTGAAACACTGCTCCAAAAATAATAAATAATTCATAGAGAAGGAATCATCTAAGAAAACTGAAAGCTTTGAACAACGCACTTACATTGGAATGAAAAAACAAGAACTTTGGCTGTTGGGGTGAAGGCACTGAAAAAAGTTAGGATTTTTTTTTTTAAATAATATTATTAATCATTGCCTTGCTTATCCCTTGAAGCCATGCATGCTTTTTTGTTTCCCACAAGTTTTGTTTTCTTAATTTTCTAAGAAAAATGCAGTGTTCTATGAAGAGGGGAGTATTTCCCAAAGGCATGGCTGAAACCTGGGTGTTTTAGGAGCTAACACTGTAATTTGCATGATATTTTTCTCAGTGTTTATCAGATAACTTTGGTTCACTTCTGTCCTTTTACCATCACTGTAGCAAGAAGAGTTTTCGATTCCATCTTCAAGGAAGACGCTAATTAGTAAATTGTTAGAAGTAACTGGGTAGTCAGAGTTCCTTGGGTATCTCTATTGCTGGGAGAGGTGTATGTCTTTGGGTAGCCCAAATGACCCTTCTACTTTTAAAGAAGAGACAAAAGTGCAGTGGGAAGAAGACTTGAAATAGAAGTGACCATCATCTCCTTAAGAAGGAATGTGTAAATCGGTACCTGTGTTTGTGGAAGACAAGTTAAAAAAAAAATACCAAGGGAGGAAATAGAACAAAAGGAAAATTAGGAGCAGGAGGGAATTTCCATGTACAGTCTTGTCAATACTGAGGTATCATGAATGTATTCTTGATCCTTCCTCACTTAAAAAAAAAACCAAACAGCTGAATGGGACAAATTGCTGCTGTTACTTTTTGAAGGAAACTAAGTTATTAACATGGCAGGTGCTATCTCAAAATCAAGAGGTCTGAATAGTGTTAATTTTTAAACTGCCTGAGTTGTGAAAAAAAAAATTCTCGTAAAATGTTGTTTCTTCCTTATAACTTAGGCACATAAAAAAGAATAGTCATTTTGGGAAGCAGCTCTCACAAGCCATAAAAGTGGTTACAGATGTTTCTCTCACTGTTCTGTGTTCCTTGGAAAAGCTGCAGAGGATTTGGACAGTATATGACTTGGCTTAAAAGAGGATTCAATTATGCAGAAATGTGGTAGGTTTAAATTATTTTTTTCTCAGAAGCTATAATTTGACAGGTATTGACAGAGTATTTTAGTTTTGTAAGTGTAGCTGGACAGCATGAGCACAGCACGGAAACATTTCTCCTTTGCTAGACAACATTGAAGGCTTTGCTACCTTTGCCACGACTGATGTATTTGTGGCAGGTTGTTTTTTTTTTGTATGTGTGTGTTAAACCTACACTTTTTGACACCCTTGATTTTACAAAGAAGTATAAGAAAATCAGAACATGGTAGCTTAAAGGGTTCTGTGCTGTAATAGAAAGTACTTCGGCTCTGCAACTGCGTTGCCTGGGTGCAGTGTGTGCTTCCCTCCTACGGAGAGCACAGGGGGAGCGGTGTGGAAATGCGGTGCTATAGGAAGATGGAATTGTACAGGGGAAAGCTGCCATCTAGTGCAAGTTCTCTGGAGCCGCAGATCTGAAGGAGCCTGCGTGGGTGTGCAGGCTTGGCTGTGTTGCCAAGGATGGGTATGTGCTGCTTTTGGGAACGGGAGAGTGTCCTCGGTCTGTGGCAGGATTTGTGGTAAGGCAGGGAAGGGATGGTAGTTGTGCATCTAGGAAAATGTGTTGTGGCTATTTTCAGGTACAACTTAAACCATTTTAAACGTGTTTGCTTAAGAAGCTTTGTTGTGTTTTACTGACTTTAACAGCTTGTGAAGTGGAATAGAAAACATTGAGCCATGAGGAGAACCCAAGTAAGTTCTGTTTTTGTTGCTTGTGCATGGAAAACATCTAAAGCATGGCATACATTTGATTCCTGTTGGTGAAAAGAAATTCCTTTGTTTACTAAAACCCAGGTCAAATGTTTAAACTTGACCACACTGAGATAAGTGTTAATAAGCAGATGAAATTTTAATGTTGCATCTTGTATAGGGGAGTAGTGTGCAGAAGAATAGCTAGGTTGTGAGTTACTCAGGAGGCAGGGCTGCTTAGGGATTCACTTGCACAAGCTTTCCTTGTACAAATTCCTCGTGTAATGATTCCACGTGAGAGAGTAGCACTTGTAGTTTTCTAGAGATTACATGGGACTGTAGGAATAGATACATTTCCGGAAGAATTTGTAATGGGAAGTTAGAACTCGTTTCACTAGGACGGCTTTCTGCCTAAGGTGGTGCCTCTTTCTCAAAGGCAGTTTCAATGCTCCCCCTCCTCCCCTCGCATAACAAGAGAAGTTCTCAGCCTTGCTCTTTGGTATGCAGAGAGATAACACGTTTGTAGACACGTACAAGGCCTCCTTGGGCCAGAGAGAGAGTGGGGGAAAAGAGAGAGAAGATAGAAAAAGCCTTGGAGGAAGAGGGGCTTTGCCTTTTGCCCCTGGGGCCTGATGCACGCCGGATCTTAAAAAAGTGATCCTTGCATCTGAAATAAACCTTTTTTTAAATCTTTTCACTGTCTTGGCATTCTTGGGAAGAATACCTACATATGTTTACCTTACAGGCTGATTGAGCTCAGTGGGGTCCATAAGTCCGATTGAACGACAGCCCATAAGTAAAGCAAAGCCATCTTAGAAAACGTTTTCACCCCACTGGACAGTTTTGCTTTGACTCAGTTGAGCTGGAGATTGAGGAAAAGAAAACTGTTAATGTGGACCAAAGTTAGGATGGATGCAGATTCTATGGTGTGACTTATTAATCTCAAAGGTATTTATTTAATAGAGAAGATGGTTTCTTTGGTGCCATTCTGGTGACACTGTGTGTGAGGTATTTGGGCTTGTGGTTTTGTTTTGGTTTTGCGTTGCCAACCCCAGCAAGCAGCATTCTTCCATGACAAACATAATGAAAAAGTGTTTCATTCTTGAAGACTATTTGAGCGATGGATTAATTTCTTGGAATATGTTAGATGATCTGGACATTGTCACCCATTTCAATTGTGAAATGACTAACAATGAAGTCATGTCTGCATGATGAGTTTTAGTGTGTTATACTGCCAAAATACGCAAAATACTGCTGAAAGGAGCTTACAGCAGCTGCTGTAAGCCAGCTGCTTTTGGTAGCTCCACAAGTATTTGTGTAGCCCTCTTGTGTGATCAATGTGGCCTCATGTGTGGCTTAAAAACTGTTTTTGTTCAGAAACCAACCCCCTCCACACCCCTCCAGGCTGCCCCACCCATTCTGACATTATTCCTGGTTGCCTAAGATAAGGTGCAAAGGAATGGTGGCATGAAATCATAACTTTCCAAGAACATGCTTTTGTAAAAAAAAATCCTGCTATCTGAAGTGGGGAAGTTGTCGTAGCAGTGTCACAAATATTTTAAATCGAGAAAATTAAAGAAGACAGAAGTTCTACAGGATGTCAGGTATCCCCCAGAGTGCCCAAGTGCTGCAAGGGGTATGCAAGTGGGAATGGGTTTGGAAGTGTAGAGCTCCCTGAAGAATTAATGTAGTTTTCAAGATAATTAGGTAGCAGCTGGAAGCAGGACATCTTAAGGGTCTTGTGGAGTTTGTTTTAAGTATTTTGAAGTCTTTGGCAAGCAAAGGATACAGAACAAGAGTTTTATTGGCATCATGCTAGTCTTGCAGTGCCACACAAATTACAGAATTACAGAATCACAGAATATGCTGAGTTGGAAGGCACCCACAAGGATCATCGAGTCCAACCCTCAGCCCTGCACAGGACCATCCCCAAGAGTCACGCCATGTACCTGGCAGTATCAGCCAAATGCTTCTTAAACTCTGTCACGCTTGGTGCTGTGACCACTTCCCTGGGGAGCCTGTTCCAGTGCCCAACCACCCTCTGGGTGAAGAACCTTTTTCTAATATCCAACCTAAACCTCCCCTGACACAACATCAGGTCATTCCCTCAGATCCTGTCACTGCTCACCACAGAAAAGAGATCAATGCCTGCCTCTCCTCTTCCCCTCACAAAGAAGTTGTAACTGCAATGGGGTCTCCCCTGGGTGTCCTCTTTGCCAGGCTGAACAGACCAAGTGTCCTCAGCTGCTCTTCATATGGCTCCCCCTCAAGGCCCTTCACCATCTTCATTACCCTCTTTTGGACACTCTTTAAGAGCTGAATATCTTTCTTATATTGCAGTGAAAAAACCTGCCACAATATTCAAGGTGAGGCCGCACCAGTGCAGAGCAGAGTGGGACAATCCCTTTCCTCAACCGGCTGGCGATGCTTTGCCTGATGCCCCCCAGAACACGGTTGGCCCTCCTGGCTGCCAGGGCACTGCTGACTCATAGTCAACTTGCTGTTGACCAGGTGTCCCTTTCCATAGCACTGCTTTCCAGCATCTAATTTCCCAGTCTGTCTGTACATCTGGGGTTGACCCATCCCACGTGCAGAATCCGGCACTTTCCCTTGCTGAACCTCACCTGATTGGAGATTGCCCAGTCCTGTAATTTGTTGAGGTCTCTCTGCAGGACCTCCCTGCATTTGAGGGAGTCAACAGCTCCCCCCAGTTTTGTGCCATCTGCAAACTTGCTCAGTATTCCTTCCAGTCCTGCTTCCAAGTAATTTATGAAAACGTTAAAGAGCACAGGGCCCAAGATGGAGCCCTGTGGAACCGCACTAGTGACAGGCTGCTGGTCCTGTTGCCAGACCCCATTCACTATTACCCTCTGTGCTCGACCCATGAGCCAGTTGTTCACCCAGCCCATGATGTGTTTATCCAGCTGTGTGCTGGACATTTTGTCCAGAAGGATCCTGTGAGAAGCTGTATCAAAAGCTTTACCGAAATCCAAAAAGATGACATCAACTGGCTTCCCCTGATCAACTAAGTGGGTTACCTTGTCATAAAAGGAAATCAGGTTTGATAAGCAGGACTTTTCTCTCATGAAGCTGTGCTGGCTGTGACCGATGACTCTGTTGTCTTTCAGGTGTTTTTCAATAGCTCCCAGAATAATCTTCTCCATAGCTTGAATTGAGACTGACAGGCCTGTAGTTTCTGACATCCTCCTTCTTGTCCTTCTTGAAAATTGGGACGTTTGCCAACTTCTTGTCATCTGGGACCTCTCCAGATTCCCAAGACCACTCAAAAATCATCAAGAGAGGTTTTGCAATGACATCAGCCAGCTCTTTGAGGATTCTTGGATGAATCCCATCAGGCTTCATAGACTTGTAGGGATCCAGCTGGAGCAGCAGATCCCACAAAATCTCAGGTTCAACTGGGAGTTCATAATTCTCACAGTCATGGTCCTCTCAGTTTCTCCACTGAGATGCCCTTGGTTCATCATCTGTGTTGAAGACAGGCAAAGAATGTGTTAAACACCTCTGCCTTTGTCTGTCCTTGTTTATGAGGTGACCATCCTCATCCTGTAATGGGCTGATGATATTTCTATACTGCCTATTGCCATTCATGGCTGGGCTTCGCGAACAAAGATTTGGGAAGGGCTCTACCCACATTTACTACAAGCGCGCTGGTGGCTAAAGAGGCCAATACCAGATAGACAAGTCTGGTTGCAAAAGGCACAGTGGAAAGACCCCTTGGATGGTATCGGCAAGACACGATTCTTTCTGCGTTGTCTTTTCTCATTAGAGGAAGGACAAAAGACAACTATTGCCATTAATGTATTTGAAAAAACTCTTTTTATTGTCCCCTACATTTCTGGCAGCTTCAACTCCAGCTGAGCTTTGGCCACACAAATTTTCTCCCTACAGCAGCAAGCAGCATCTCTGAACTCTTCCCATGTCACTTGACCTTGCTTCCACTGGGCATACATCTTCCTTTTTGCCTTATTTCCAAGAGAAGACCCCTGTTCAGCCAAGCAGGCCTTCTGTCTTGCCTGCTTGATTTCTGACATTTGGGAATTGCCTGCCCTTAGGAGTTCGTGTTTGAAAAGTGGCCAGCACTGATGGGCACCGGCAGCTGCAAAAACATTTTCCCGGGGGACCTTACTTAGTAATTCCCTGAGCAGCCTGAGGTCTGCTCTCTTCATGTCCAGTGTTGAGGTTTTGCTGGCACTTTTCCTCCTGTCAACAGAGATTTTAAAGTTGATGGCTTTGTGGTTGCTGTGGCCAAGATGGGCACCAATCTCCACTTCTCTCATGAGATCCACTCTGTTGACAAGCAGCAGATCAAGGAAAGCATCTTTCCAAGCTGGCTGCCTTATAACCTGTTCCATAAAGTTGTCATCCAGGTTTTTAGGAATCTTCTGGCCTGGGTTGTACCAGCTGTGTGATGCTCTCAGTTAATTTCTGGCATATTGAAGTCCCCCATAAGGACAAGGGCACTTGACCTGGAAGTTTCCCTTAGTTCCTCAAAGAATAATTCATCAGTGCCACCCTCCTGGCTGGGAGATCTATAGCAGACTTCCATGATGACATCCATGTTATTTCTTTGCCCCTTGATTCTTACCCAGAGGCTCTCAACTGTGCCAGTGCCAACTGTGAGCTCCATACATTCTAAGCCTTCTATTACATACAGTGCCACCCCTCCGCCTCTCCTGCCCTGCCTGTCCCTACAATGCGCAGTGTAGTGACTTAACTTTCTATTCTGCTGAGAGTAATTTTGATTTTTAAGAATCTCTTTTCTGTGCTGTACCATGCCACAGAGTCTTGGCTACTGTATTTTCAAATACAAGAATTGTCCAAGATGCACACAGTAAATGGTGTGCTTGTTAGTCTGCCTGTCATACCCGCTTAAATTATACTGACTACAGGTTGGCTAGCAGACATTTTTGGTAGTGCAACCAAGTGTGATGATGTCACTGACTTTGTTTCCTGCTCAGTTAAAATGAAGTACATGTAAATCCAGTGTACAGGAAGTCCACTGAACCCAAACAGGAAGTCCAGTGAACCCGAACAGATGGATGAAATAGTTGGCTATTAAACTAAAGCAGAGTGTTTAATTCTGCTCAATCTGTCAACCTGGCTGTCAAAATTGGCTTTACTAAGTTATATCTTGCTGTTCAGTTGCCTAAGCAATGTGCTCTTCTTTTAACCTCCCTGAAGCGCTGGTGCCCTCTCTCACTGTCACGAGGCTCATTATTTTTAAGCTCTTGGAAGTGAACATCTTATCTTGGCTTGAGGAAATGTAATGCATCTCAAACAACTATCCCAGGTGTGAGTACACCCAATAAAAGTTTGAGTGCAGAGTAAGTGGCATTATTTCAGTTTTCATTGTCTGTGTTTTCTTAGTTGGTTTATGGTGGTTTAACTGGGTCTCTCCTAGATATTGTCCCAGAAATGAAGATGGGAGACTGGAACATTTTTTTTTATAAGGTATTTATGGAAATGTTTAAAATACATTCAAAACTAATAATAGAATTTTATGTAAATTCTGTGTCCAAAGAGGAATGTAGTGGTGATGATGACTTTACCAGCTCTGCTATAGAAGTATTACTGAAAGGATGGCAGCTTTACAGATGAAAAAACAGGGGTAATTAGAAGTTCCCCTGACTGCAGTGTAAGTAGGTACTCATAGTGATAGGGTGTAATATACATGCTGACTTCTCAGACACTGTAGTTAGTGTTGTATGGATTTGTTGCTTATTTGTGATTTCAGTTTTGAAACTTATTGGAGACTGTAGTGTACATATTCAGCTTTTTTTTTTTCTTGGTGGGAAAGAAGAAAAAATAATCATGCTAATGTTTAAAAAAGGGGAACTATTCAGTTGCTCATTAAAAAAAAAAAAGTGGGGGTTGCTGGGATAATTTGAACAATTTAAGGATGGATGTTGATGCCAGACCTATCTTTAGATATTCCATATACTGCAAAGTAGTAACTTGCACTAAAGGGAGACAAAAACTGCTGTTGTGGACTTTCATTAGCATCGCTATAGTTATCAGAAACAAGATGGTGAGCCAGATTGGAAGTGATATTACCAAGTCTGGTGGTTGGTTGTGTGGTGCTGTTTGTGCAGTTGTTTGTGTTGTGGGTTTTGTTGTTGTGGGTTTCTTTTAATGAACTAAATTTTGTAATTTGAGAAGCATTTAGTCTGTTTTAAAGGAATTTAATCGTAATGTTTAATCATAATGTACTACTGTGAAGAGCTTGCATCTTTGTAAAGCAGACTATTAAAATACTGCTTGTGTACTTAATGTTCTGTGAAGTTATCTAATGGGCACTAGCTGAGCCATGAAGTGTCCCATGTACACAGGCTGGAAGGAGATTTGTCCTGTGGCTCCTGAGCCATCTGTTGAGCTCCTTGATAGTCATTTAGTCATGTGTAGACTGTTAAAATTTCTCTAGTGCTTTAACTGGTATTAGCTGGAGTTTGGTTGCCTGGTTGAATCTTCTGCTACATTAAGTGTCTATTGCTCTAGTTTTTGAAGTAACATTCTGTAGAAGTCTTGGAAAGCGTTCTTTATGATGAGGGGTCCTTATTATTTTTTATGTAGCATGTTACAGAATTGGTTTACAAACTAGCTCTTGCCTTATGCAGGAAAAACAGCAGGAAGTCTGCAGTGATGGCCAAAAGTGCAGGAGGGTCTATTAAAATCTTTTCTGTTGTTGTTGTTTCATGTTTTTAAGTGCTAAAGCAATACATTCTGTTCACCTTCTGTAGTACAACTTAATCTACTGATTTTTATTATCCAGGCTATTAATGTGTGGCTGAATTACAGCAACTGTTCAATTGCTAATCTGTTTATAAAGCAGTGTGTGGGACAACTTGGGGGTTTATTTTCAGTTGGCGCTTGTCCATCTTTCAATTTCCAACCACTGGATCTCATTCTGTCCTTGTCTGTTACTGTAGATTTCTAGTCTATGGTGGATACTTAAAAATTGCTGATTACGTCCATTTCTAAGATTTCATTAAACTAAATTGAAGACCACATTTGAACCTGTGTTTGCGTTTACATATTGATATTACAGATGCATTTATATTATTTATTTCTTGTTAGCAGGAGGTGTTCATTTGACTGTTCTTTGGCTCCATGGTATTAGTGCTATGATTAACTCTTCTGTTGTTTTCTATTTCCTCACTAATAATTGCCCTCCGCACCAGACTTTCCAAGGTTTTGAAACAGCATGTGTGTGTGTGATAGGGAAGGGAACACATATCAAGACACCATGTTATAGCTACTTCAATCATTTTACTTCTTTTTTATTTTTGGAGATGGATGTAGAAGGAAGTAGCAAATCTTTACAGCAGGTCCATAAAGCTGCAGCTTGATCTTCCTTGTTCATATGTGTTTTTATATATCTATGAGCATGTTGAGTTAAATCACTCTGAAAAGAACATTGCAAGCATACTTCCAAGTATGGATTTTTAACTTCTTTCATCCATTTCAAAAGGTTTGGTTTTGGTAAGTCTGATAGGTACCTTGTCTGTTATGAATATGGGGTTCCTCTCCTATTAGCAGAACTAATCCTGCCAGTCATTCAAGGGAAGCTTTGTTTTGTTTTTTTTTTCTAGAAAATTATGTTTAGTTTAATAATTTTTCTGCAGATAATCAGTAGGAAGTTCACAGTTCACCTGCTTTTCCTACTAGAAGACAAGGATTTTTTTATTCCAGAGCATTCTTTTCCATTAAGAAAACTTTTGCAGTCTGATTTTGTGGATGTAATTTTGGATATATGAAAGTGTGGATAATACAAATTCTAATTTCTGTAATACAATCAAAAACTACAGGACAACCAGGACATTTTAAATTTTCAGTGGCAGTTAAGATTCCCACTGTTATCAACAGTCATGCAGAAACCGTTTCTTTAGTTTTCTGTTACACTGTGAAGGGTACTGTATTTGTGCAAGGTAGTCATGCCATAGGAGTGGAGGTTAAAAAAATTAGCTTTTTTACTCATTCCTAGTCAGGCATGTATTGTGTTACTCATACTTCGCAAGGATTAATGCTTTTTTTGTATCACTTTCTACATTCTTTGGGTGAGAGTTGCTGACTTGCTTTTCTTTCTGCATAGGATGAAAGAGATGAAATGTTTATCAAGCAAGATGAGGTGCAGCAGAACTTGTATTCAGCAGTGAAAGAATTAATTTTGGAAGTGGATCAAGTGCCCTCTCTGGGCCCTCAAGAGTGTTACAGGTAAGGAGATTGCTTGGATCAGTATAGATTCTGAAACTCTGAGAATCAGTGGAGGGCGTTTCTTCAATGTTAAACATTTTATAGTTGGAGACTGACAGCAGCAGATGAAGTTTTAGGTAACACTTCCAAGGTAAGCTGTATGTCTGGCTCTTGTAATACTTAATTTACTTGTGATCTTGGTCTCCTAGATGTTTTGTTTCTAGAGGGAAATTATTATCTAGATCCTGGATTTAGGGAACAGCTTTTCCTTTATGGTACTGTGTTGGGTGATTAACAAGACTTCACTAAGCACAGAATATTTAGTAGAAGATGGCTGTTAATGAGAGAACCTACAATTAAAAAGTCAATGCAGTTATCCTGTAAATTGTGGTCGTGTGTTGTGTGATTTGATTATATGCTTTCCTACCAAGAGTCTCTTTCCCTCTCAGACAACCCAAAACCAGAAAGTAAGGATGTAGATAGGGAAATAGGCTCTGTAGAGGCAGTAAGGACTTTTGAAGAGGACTTTGACAATAGAAGTGTTACTGGACTTTGCTATTAGAAATAATTTATTTTCTTCTTTTTAATATCAGAAATATTACTTGCCTTAATTTTGACTGTGCAAATGTGTGTGGAGAGGTGAAAAAGGTTGTTGGTATTTGGGCAGCTTGTCTGTACAAATTCCAGAGATTTATTCATCCACACATATATGAGATTGAATTCTTATGAATAATCACCAAGATTGCAGTCTGCACATAAGTTTGTATAAGACTGGAACAGCATTAATAAATTGAAGCATTCAAATTTTCATGGAATTACTCAATTTCCAATGGAATTATTTTTCAATGCTATTAATAAAATGTTTCATACTTTTTTTTTTATAGTCTGATATACAGATTGGTATCTAATTGTAAAAAGATACTGCATAGGTAGCATTTCATGTTTTTTTATCACTAGAGGCATTGTGAGAGTCCTGCTCCTTCAGATACAGGAAAGTTGTAGTGTGTTGTTTGTATGTTTTTTTCTGTTTTGTGTTGGTTTTGGGATATTTGTGTGAGTGTTTAAAGGCTATACTGTGTGAATCCACTAGGTGGTAGGCATCAAGCATCTTCTACATAATTGTACAGAAGTGAAATTTTAAGAGTGTTTTGAAAATATTTGAAGGGGTACTGAAATGCTGCTATGTGTGTTAATTAAATGTTGAGCTTTAGCTTAACTGTGTCAATGGTCCTCTCTTGTGTTTGGAGCTGGAAGACCAAAATAGCTTTCCCATATAGGGAAAGTGAAATAAGTGCTTACCAAATATTAATGAGAACCTTGTTTGCAATTTTATAGAGCTGAAGTGGTCATGCTGTGCTGTCCTAGAGAAACAAATATTTTTCCATATCTCTCAGAGGAGAATTTTGGGAGCTAATGCGCCTTTCACTGAGCCTGTGTATTGCAAACTCTCTTCTTCATCAGACATCTCTTCTGACTTGTGTTTTATACCTTCTGGTGAGAGTTGTTGTTGGCCAGTTCAAACAGCTTCAGCCACAGTTGGGTTCACCTGGCTAGGACTGAAATAACCAGTTGATAAGCTCCATGCTTTCCAAGTGACAATACTGCATTGCTTGAGAGGAAAGCCGAGAGTGGGGGTATACACATAAATTACCCTAAAGCAAACTAGGGTGTGAGCTGAACAGTTGTTATCTATCTGTAAGCAAGTTTCCTTTGTCTCATGGATAGTGTGCAGTAGCTTGTTCTGCTCCCTTTGAATTACCATGCTTAGAGATAGTGGCTGGGACAAGTGCACATAGGCCACTGAGCCATCTTCATATGGTAGTTTGTTGTCCTTCTGGAAACTGCTTCTGTATCCCTGTGCTGATGAAGTTGCTAGTGTTTTAGAGAAATGTGTTTAAAGTATGAGAAATAAATGGGATGAAATAGGACCTAACTTACAGGATTCTTTCCTTGAAGACAGCCTGATGGAATATGTACAGATACTGTCCTGGTGTAATTACTGCTATTATTTTTGTAAACAGAGTGTGATATTGGATATGAAACTGTTACTGAGCAGTTTTTTCTGCTCTATTACCTACTTTTGTTTGCTGTTAAATTGGTTGATTTTTTTCCTCCCTCCTTCAGACTGTTCCATTTGAACCTGGCTTTTACCTTGCTGTGCCATTTTTCTGTCTATGTGTATCCTGGTGTACTGAATCCCATCTACTCAGAAAAATGTGAGAGAATTCTCTTCTGCACTTGAATGATTTCAATAGCCTCCATAAATTTAGCACAAACCTTTTCCTGGTATTTGCTTGTAGACAAGCAGATTTGTATAAAGCTCATGTCACTTGGCTCAGTAGGAAATTGCTGTTGAAACAGTCTATTATACTGAATGAATGTTGTTCATTGTAGTAGCTATTGTTATGAAAGTGGTTTTGTAATTTTTATAAAATACTGTTCAGTGGAGGATTGGGTTTTTTTTGTTTTGTTTTGGTTCCTTTTTTGGTCACTGTATTTAGTTAATTATAATGTGAGGAAATTCTTATTCTTTTGGCCCCAATCTGAACTTTTGCTGTGGTGTGTCTGTAGTGCTAGGTCTGGTTGCCGGATCATCGTGTGTAGTCCTACAAAATTGGTTAAAGTCAATTCCTGACCTTCACAGTACCTGCAGCCCTCAGCAAGGGGAGGCCATTGCTGCCCCTTTCCAGCTTCTGGTGGTAGTGTCAGTCATTTTACCTGGTGTTCTGTTTGGTTGCTCAAGGGTCTAAAAGGCTCCTGACAAGTGACTTTACATTCAGAAGAATTCCTCGGTTGCTCACCTTATTTCTCAGTACAAATTCACTTTGTTTTCTGAAGTTGAGCAGCTCTATAAGGAGCATTATAAATTGAACCCCATTTTGTTCTTTATCCTGATAAGTATGACTTTAAAGTCCACAGGGAACAAATAACTAGAATACAAACGACTTCTTATGAGCTGTTAAGCTTTTTGTGGTGCCTTTTCCTTCCATGTTTTCAAGGAACAAAAATCAAACTTGATGATCTCTGAGATCCTTTTCTGCATTGCATTTTCTGGTAGACATACTGGCACTTGATCTCAAAGGAAAGTGGAATGTAAAATATACTTCACTGGACATAGAAAGAGACCTTTGTGCTAAAAATAATTTTATACCAGCAGATAGTGCTAACTTTTTCTATGTTAAATATCTTGATTTTTGTAGGTAATACATGGTCACAGAATTCGCCTTGTTTGCAAAACTGTTTTTGCTGGATTTACTTGAAACACAGGAGCTGACAACTTCTCTGGAGATGATTTATGGTCAAGAATCTGAAGCATATGACCCAGGATGTATTTCAACAGTTCTTTGAGTGGAAGTGTGTTAAAACAAAGAAACTAAATTGTGTCAGATATAATATGGACACAACTATGCAAATTCTTGCTGACCGGTTCAGTGACATCTTTAAGGTAACGCAAACAGTCAATCTTTCTTGTTGGTGAACATGATGAAGTATGACACTGTCTAACCAAGGTAGTGAGGAGTAGGCATTAGTAGGGCCAACTACTTATGGCAGGGAGATTGTGCATATGAACGGTGGCTCTAAATGACAGTGCTTCAATACAGAGGGAAAGGTAGTGCATTGAGGAATAGAGTGTTACTTTACCTTCACTCTTGGTGCAGTGAGCTGGAATTTATACAAAAGACGTCCTTTTAGAAGAAAGCATAGATGTCAGTACTTTTATGGAAGGATAACTTTGGGTGTGCTTTTCTATCTGTTCACTGTGTGACTGAAATGCTTTAATTAGTCCTTTCAAGAGACCTTTGGATAGAAATACTTCGGATTTTAAAAGGTTCTAGTTCATAAATGCCGCTGAAGGTGGCGATGAGAGATTGGCTGCAAAGAAACAGCCAATCTGACCGGATGTGATGTAGGTACAGGCTGCAGAGAAATATACAATAGATTTTTCTTCCTCATTGAAATGTTGAGTGTGGAGAATTTGTGCAAATAAATTGTCTACCATTATGCAATACCATTCTGATGCTCTGTGTCTCCCACTCTGAGTTGTAAGAGGTTTGGAGCATTGAAGTTGGGTGTGGGTTATTTCTCATAAAAGGAGATGGGTGGTGCAAGTGGATCACCATCCATTGAGTTCTGCTTATGAAGAAAATGTGAAGTAGGAAGGTAACTGTGACTTTCCTGTCTCTGTGCTCTTGCTCAGTTTAGGACTCCTAGTCTTCCTGGAAAGACTGTCAGCTCCTCTCTCCCCATTCCTGCAGGCCCAGCTTCCCTATCTCCCTGTCACACTTGCATGTAAATGTTCTCAGTTTGTGTCAACGTAGCCTTCCTGCCCATGTATATTGTACGTAATGCACAAGGGTTGTGCCCTTTCCTAGTGTATAAGTTTTCTGCTCTTGCATTTCATTGTGCCCAGAGCATTTACTGTGGCCAGATGCTGTTATGAGTATCAGTGTTCAGCAGCAGTGTAGACTTGGTGCATGTCATGTGGAGTACAATGTTAATGAATATAATTACTTACAGGTGTTTATAATCATGTCAGTTATTAGAGGGGGCAAACAAACTGGCAGGTGGGTTTCTGTGATTGCAATTCAGAGTGCTATTCTGCATGCATGAAAGTGGCTCAAGTTTGTCAGTATAGTGATGAACTTTGGTTTACCTATTTCAAATCTGAACTTTTCTGCAAATGCTTCAGAGGTAGAGGAAATGTACAGACTTTTGGCATGGGTTGGTAAAGCACTGGTAGATAGACTGAGAAAGGAATTTTCGTTTATCCTTCTTAATCGCTTTGACTTTTGATATGCAATTTTTCTGTTGCAATTTAAGTTCTACTTCCTTTAAAAAAGAAATACTGAACAATCATGTAAAGGAAATGTTTCTTTGAAGTGTTTGCCTTCTCTTTATTTTAAATAGATACTCCTTTTCCTCTCTTTCTGAATCCAAATTAATCTACTGTAGCATCTGTATATATATACCGTGAGAGTATATATAATAGGACATGGGTCAATGGCAGACAAGGAAATTTTCAGAGCCTGTATGACTTCTTTCCAGTATACAACTCCAGGCTTTTGGAAGAAACATTGTTTGAACTTGCATTGTTAAAGTTTTTTTTAGCTCCATTAAGGTTAAGACAATAAAATATTTTTAAGTATTTAGTGGAATACACAAGCTTGATAGATAAATGAACAAGGTGGGGTTTGCAGGTTTCTGTTATGACTGGTATCTTGCATGTTAAATACAGGACCATATTTCTTTTTTAATTCTGCTTGCCAGTGTAATATTTCTTCTTCTCTAGATATGAGCAACAAAACTTTGCTAAAAACAACATTCAGTGTGATTATAAGTTGATTTTACTGATTTTTCTCTGGCACCTTCTGCACCTTAAAGCAAAGTTATTTCTGACTTTTATGAAAGCACTTATGGTTTCCTGGTGAAATCTTTAACCTTATTTCACACTCGATAAACTGTGAAATAGATCCCAGGATGTGTCTTTATGTCAGGCTGTACCATATAGGAATGGAAATCTCAGGTACCACTGTGTGGGCAGCACATGTTGATTTTTGACATGAAACTCAGGAGGATTTGGATTCTTCTTCTTTGGTTTCATTTTTGATAAAAAACAAAATGAGATTAGAAAAATAAAACCCAGTCAAGGCAAGAACCAACTTTATTTTTGCCTAGTGAATCTTAACTTAGTTCTAGAAATTGGTATATTACTCAAGTGTGAGGTGAGATCTGACTCAAATCCTGATTAGATTTCCAGTAGTGCTAACTCTTTGCATTTCTTACTTGCTTTTGCTCTCTGCTTGCTAATTTCTTATTTTCAATTGCAAGGCTGATTGTTTCTTTCTGCTCTTTGAAGTGTTGTAACCTGATGTTAGAAGCATTTTCTTACTTAGATGAAGTGGTTGGCAGTGCAGATTAAATTCTCAAAAAGGGTGAGTTGACTGTTTCTGAAGAACTGGATGTAGAATTAAATGTAACTTCTAATCATGCCAGCTCTGTCACGACTTTTGTATATTTTACACATATTTGATTTCAGTTTAAAACTTTTCTTAATGTATCAGACAAGATATTTGCTACAAGGCAGCATTTTTCTTTGATTTTGTGGAAATGTGATAGAAAGCTGCTTGGGTTGCTCCTCAGAGACAAAAGAATGTATTTTCCAGGCAACAGGCAGAAAGGACAGCTTCACATTACAAGAACTTAGCTGTATGTACAACTGCCTTAAATAAGAAATATTGGGAAAACTGGTTCTTCCCTCTCTATATGCAGAGAAGCTTTCTTTGAGCCTTACCAAGTTTTGGTGCTTGTGTTGAAAATACAGGTGAAAATTCTGATTAAAGTAATGGGATTTCCTCTCTGGGGCAACGTGTATGGATAAACTTACTTTTTCCAGTGTTAAGAGATAAACAGTTTTTCATCACTTTCATTTTACATGGGGCAAGTGTTCTTGCCTTACTGATAATAATTGTCTATGATAGTGTTAGCCTTTTTCTCAGTTATTTATATTTTCTGATAAGCATTTCCTCCATTCTCTTTTGCTGATGCTGAGATATTTTCATTGTCTTTGCAATGAGAGTCCCTGTTGCGCCCGAGAATGGTCACGTCAGCAAAAGTTGCATCTGTCCTTTGACGTAGCATCATACTAACAATAAACCAGTAGTTTAGTCTGCTTGTGACTGCTCTTGGTGATAGAACCAGTGACTCTCATTGGTTGCATGTTCTAATGTTCCATATCTATTTAACTGTGGTATCTTTAAAAAGAATTCTCGTGTAGCATGTGGAATGTGAAACTGGACTTCTGCATAGAAGTGCCAATCAGTTTTATTCTACTGAAACTCTTGGATGACTTGCTAACTGCCCTTTTAGAACCTCCATAAGAAAAGAGCGAAAAATCTGATAAATTACTGTTTTCATTAATGATGGAACTTCTCAGTAAAGGTTTTACATCTTAAATATTGTTGTGTATAAATGAAGAATGACTCTTAATATTTAATCTCCCTCTATGTAATTCAGTCTAGGAGCATGATGAAGCAGAGAAGGGAATAATTATAAGTACTTACAATAAGGTTATGTGTAAAGTTCATCATGAGCAAAGTATGATCACTGTCATATGAAACAGATACTTGGCCAGTGCTGAGGTGTGTTTATGCCTTATCTATTTCTATGACACTAATCTATACAGGTAACCTTTTCTCACATAATTTCTTTTTGATAAATGTCTCTATCTTTTTATGAGAAAATTCTAGGGGTATATTGGTGATGAGAGGTAGGTTGGGTTAAAGCTTCAGATTTCCAGTGGTACATTTTAGCCAACGCTTCATTTCAGTTAAATACAAAGATACTTTCTTAACAAATAAAGCAGTGGAAGCTGGAATCTCTGGATTCATGACAAATCAGTAGTATGTAATTTAAGGGGATTGAGCTCTAAGTAGAACGTTGGTTTTTCAGAAGATTATTAGTGTAATGAAAACAAAACACAGTAAACCCCCTATTCTGTGGGGAAAGACCCTGAAAAGCTGAATTCAAATAGGCTTCAGGCAGTTTGTCTAATGCATTGGACTAAACCATATCAAAATAGGAAGCTTTAATACTTCCTGATTTTTTTCTTTTCTTCCTAGTTCAAAAAAGCAGGCAGAGGAATGACTGAATAGAAGACCCAATATTAACAACTTATTATCAGTTAAGAAAATTGTGAAAAGCTTAAAGGCCCAAACACAATGGAAGCTGATTGAAAAGAACAACTTTCAGGAAGTATGAAAATGTTATCGTGTTGGTATTTTTGTCTGTTGTTTTTCAGATTGGTTTAGAAACATTGATTTAGTCTATTCCAAGTAAGTGGTAACTATGTCAAACAGTTGTCTGAATTCAGTTTTGCCTTTAAATGTGGAAGTTTTACAGCCCCGAGGCCAAGCTTGAATGGCATAAATCCAAAAAACCCCAACCAACCGAGCAACCAAAAAAGAAAAAAAAAAAAGTCAGTATGTAGTAATTTTTCTGTTTCAGTCCCCAGCCATGGCACTATGCTTTTAACTTATTCCCTCCAGTGGCGGGTGTTGTTCACAGCATGGTAAGTTTTGTCCATCTTTTTCTACTGTGCTGCATGTGTATAACTTTAACATCCAACTTTGTTGATAATGCGTGTGCCTCCTCTTTGGTGACAGAAGTCAATGTCCCAGTTTTCAGGGTTCCCCACTACCCCTCAGAGAAGTTTAAAGAATGTAAATATTACTTCAGCTTCACTGGTAATATTCACTTCAGCTTCACTGCTGTTTGTTTGATCATGCAATAATCATTCTGATGATGCTTAAGGGAAAAAAGAACTTGCACATGTGCCTCAAACACTGTAAAGGGGCAGTAAGCTCCCAAGAGGGATTTAAAATAAGATACAGTGATGAAACCTATTGGGAAAAAGATTCTTGAATAATGAGGCGACATGAAAAATGTGCCTGTGTATGAGAGAAAAAAGTGAATGAATTATAGAACCTGGTGTTGCTCATAGATGAAGGATGTTGCTATTATGTTTATTGGTGATTAGCTAATCAAAAGGAAAAAACCAGCCTTCTGATTTAAGAAACAAGTAGGCAAAGGGCTAGAACATTTGGTGTGTCACATAAATGAAGGGAACACCTTTCTCAGTGATTAGGTTTTAGGGGATTCACTTGGGTTTCCAGGAAGGAGACTGAGTAAAATACGTGTTTGAGAATATGTTCAATTTCTGAATTGTGATACAGAAGCAGGTTTTAAATCCTGTTATAGTAGATTACTGTTGCTTGGTATGATAGTCAGAATTATACACAAATTTTGCTATTCCTAATCCTGATGATTACAATGAATTTGAAATTACATCAAAAAGCTTCCCCTTCCACTTAACATAAAATTAAATTCCAACTGTAATAGACAGGGAACCTTACAAATTTTTGACAGCTGAATTTTCTGAAAGGTCATACTCAGTACAGATGGTGTAATTGTGAAAATTACAAGAGTTGAGGAAGACTGTCCTTCTCTTTAGTCCTTCCTGCAGGTATGGGCTGTGCTGAAATAAGCAGCTTGCATGATAGAACAGGAAAGTTTCACCATGGTTCACAGCCTGGGTCCAGTGTGTGCCTTCTCTGCAAAGGTGTCAGTACTGCTCAGGGCTTGTACTTTCTGCATGATCACAAATGGAGCTGGTAACTGGTAACTGATGTGTTACCAAGGACTCTTGGCAATCTGCAAACTAGTCTTCTCCAGTCTGTCTATAGCTGGTGCTGGCTGCTGTCATGGAAGAGGATAGAAACTTGGGGTATAGTTCTTATTTTGACAGTAGACAATTCTAAAATATGCTGGAAAGCAGGAATGGGGAAGCAATTAGTTCCAGGTAAAGAGCAGAAAGTCAGAGAAGAAAAAATAGGAAAGCTGGCAGAAATAAAGTTCTTGAAAATAGTGCTGAATGTCTTTGTATATTTGTAAAGTTTTTTTCTTACCTGAGAGGTTTTGCAATTTGTATTCTCTGCCACCTTATGAGCTTTAATAGTTTCTTAGTGTGTGGTATGCCAGGGAGGAGAAAGCAGCCTACTTTCCTTCATTAGGTGGTATGTTGGACAGCAGCTCCTCCATGTCTTTTTCTGGCACTGTATTGCTGCCTCCCCAGCTCAGGCTGGCGGTGCCATGTGTTCTAAATGGGAAAAGCTCAAAGCTCCCAAACTTGAAAAGCCACAAGCTACCCAGCAAGTGCTTATGTTCCCATGCAGCGATTTTGCATGAGCAGTTAATGTATTGGAACTGGTTCACTGAGTATCAGCTGGAGCTCCAGGTATATGGGGGTCTTCCTGGGAAATACTGGCAGTTCTTTCATCTGCACAGGGATGGCTTCAGTAATGCTTTCTGTGCTGCAGCATTTTAAAAACACTTCCTAACAGTGCAAGTTGATAGGTAGCCACTGGCAATTACCTGGGTTGAGAAGATGAAGCTGATTCATATAAAAGTAACTCTTCATTATGCTTTATTCCCAATTTAGGAAGCTGTTGCTTAAAATTAAGTAATTTTTCTACTCAGATGAATAAGTGATGAAACAGATGAGCTAAAGTGTAGCTTGATGTCGTAGATTTTTATAATTTACTAACATTGTAGGATTTAGCTAGAATACTTCTACTACCATTATTCAGATAATCTGTTCTAAAGGGTTTTGTAAGTAGAAGTGAGGGTAAAAAAATAAGAAAAGTAAAAAAAAACCCCAAAAAAACCCCAACCAAACAGAAAACCCCAAAGAAACAAAGACTGAAACAAATTACTGATTCTGGTTGAAGAGACTATCTGGGATGCAGCAAGATTGGCATTCTGAACCCTCATCCAAATTTGCCAGCTGAATTTCAGATTGCCCCACATGTAACTGATCTTCAGCTCAGACTTGGTCTTGCATTGATCATTTGATGGAAAATTCTAGCTCAAGTCTTAATATTACATTCCGCAGTTGCCAGTTTCATGTTAGGCATCCAAAATTGTGTTCTCCCTCATTAAGCAGCACAGACACTTCAAAAAATGGAGACAGTGATTTTTCCGAGTTCTCTGCTGATCTGTGTCCCGAGAGCCCAGCACTGACAAAACACATGCTTCCTTTTGCTCTCTGTGTAATTGTTCAGAGTAGAGGAATTTTCAGCTTAACCTGCAGGCAGTGTCTGGAAAGTGCGGTACTCGTCCGTGCTTCTGGGCAATAGTGAAGACTGGGGGGATTATACTTAGTTTATGGGTACAGAGTTCACATTTGTCTGCTAGAATACACTTACCCCTCAACATTTCTTAAAGAGGATTATGTACCATAACTTGGGCATGCACTTTTGCGTCATATTTTTAAATGTCTATTTCTTTTGACCTCTAAAACTTTCTTCTGATACTATTTTTTCCTCTTGTTTCTGTGTAAGGGAAACTTGAGCAGCTTGCATGTTTTACCCTGCTTTAAAATTAGGAAACAGTCTTTCCTTGCCATTTTATTGTATTAATCCATTTTCATTTGAAACCTGGTGAATCTTCTTGACTGATGTTTGCTTTTCCTAACTAAAGGGAAAACCCTCACCCGTGTTATTACAGCTTTGCATTCAAAACCAGGAGTTTGGCATATAAGAAGATGGAACACCTGAGATAGATGTGGTTGCCATGGTATGTCAATTGTCAGATGAGGAAGATAAGTCTGCTCTTGTTTAGAAATGGTTGATCAAATTTTAAAGTCAAATATTTCATTTTAAGTGCTGGCTTGAAAAATGTTCTTAATTGACTATTTGCATAATTCTAGATAGAATGCACAAATAAAATGATGACTGAGAAGGTAGAAAGCCCCAAAGTTTTCTTAATATTAAACTCAGACCTCAGAAGGAGCAACTTCTTTACCATTAATTGAATGACACCAAGTTACAGACTTGGGGAATAAGTCATTGAGATTCAGCCTCAAAGGAGGTGTTTGAATTAGAAATCTGTCTTTTCTGAAGTCAGGAAGTTGACTTTGTTCATCTGTCTTACTACATAATGACAGCACAGTGCTTGAGCATTAATAAAACCACCAAATTCCATTTTAATCACTTAAATGCAGTTAAAAAACTGTACTGTGCCCTTTACTCTTTGGATTTGGTTTCTTTTTTGTGAAACAAGTTTTCCTATACCTCTGAAACAAATGCACAGATATAAGTAAACCCTGCATGATACAAATTTGTGTTTTCATTCTTTCTACTCTCAATACTGTTATTCTCTCTCTACCTTATGCCAGCAGCTGTTTTTCCCTTGAACTCTATTTTCAGACCCTTTTTTTGAAACTTATCCTGTTCCAGTGTCCCAGTGACTATTTGAGAATAAGATCTGTGCACCTTCATGCTTCACAACTTGGGTCTCCAACTCTGCAGTTGTTCTTTCACTAACTTATCTTTCTCTTGGATGGGCACCCAATTTTATCCCTCATCTCTGTGCATTCTTTACTTGAGTGCTTGTATTTCCTTGGGTTTATTTTCTCGTGTAACTGTCATTCCCATAATCTTTCAGTCTTCTGGCCAGGAATTAAGACCAAATAATAAATTCCTCTTTCTTGGTTATACTCGTGTATTAAATGATTTGCCAGCTTTACAGAGGTGACTGTTTAAGATGGAGTTAAATTACTGGAGTTGTGTTCATTATGAGCTTAGTGTATCCTGTTTACTGTGTTTAGGTTAAGAAACTGTCCTGATACAGTCCCAGACTAACACAGCTTCAGTGTCCTGGCAGGGTAGTTTGTGTATCACTGTATAACATAGTACTGCAAATAATCTTGCTTTATTAGATGACTCCTCTGCAGTATGTCTTTTAACAACTTCACTTCAACAATGTCCTTCAGTGATGAAAACATTACTGATAACGCACAGGACTGTCTACCAAATCCTTCTGCAAAATTACTTCCAGTGGGACACTACCATGGAAAATAGAATAATAAAACATGCAGCATTTGAGCAGAAAGGTGATCCTGTAAATGTGCATCTTACAGCTCATTACAGTTGCCTGATTTTTTTAAATTAAAGTGACTCTCATGAAACCCACAATACTATAGGAAAGAATATTCAGTACTTCATGATTGAACGTTAGGGCCAGCTAGGGGGTTATAAATGTATTTCACAAAATTTGTACAGAGCCATTTGCCAAGTGCAGCGTTCAGGATTAAGCATAATAATCCTTAGATACTAAAAATCCCTAACTTTCTTTCATGTATAAGGGAAACTTAATTGTCCAAGGAATTAGGAAAGATTTCTTGGGACATTAAAACTTGTCGGCTCACTTCTGGTTTCCATAAAATTTCTGCTGTGACAATGCTTTACAAATAAAGTCTGAAGGATACAAATCAAAGTTTAAATGGCCAGTTTCAGGCCATTATATTTCTGTATTCTTCTGTAACAGGTACCTTCTGAAGTGCAAACAGCTGCTTTTGTTTCAAGAAAAATTAATTAATTTAGTTGGTATTGCTTTTAGCAGGCATGAATTAATATTACAACTTTTAATAAGAGCAAATTTCTCTGATTTTTTTTCCTCCTGATGAAAAGAAGCAGCATTGGATTTTTACTTCGTTTTTAAGGATTCATCCTGCATGCATGTACATGCATGTGCCTCACCACTAAAGTCCACCAGTAAGCAATCTGTGTTGCCTGCAGTGCTCAGAAATATAGATGAGGGTTTTACTAAGAAATGTAGTACTAATAAATATCTTTCAGCTGTTTCTTGGGGAATCTTTTAGACCTCTGGCTGTTAATCCTTGTCCCAGTTCTTGGGGAAAATCTATTTTGCTTTAAAGTGCTTTATCTATAATCAGCTTATTCGGAATTAATCTCCATGCCCATCTGCAGGCTCTTGACAGACTGTAATTTCCCTTCCATCTCAATCTCGTGCCCAGAGGAATTGCACACTTGCAACTAGTAAAATTTTTGTTGTTTTCAACAAATGCAAAACTGCCACAGGAAGATAACATAAAGCTTTAAAACTGGGATATTAATGTTAGGTAACTGTTGAGGAAAGGTAATGTTTAGTGGAAAGATCTTGCAGCCACTCATTTAGCTATGTCAGCCTTCAATGTTCAGAGTGTTTCAGCATTCAGTTTTGCATATTTGAAAAAAAAAAAAGTAAGTAAGATCAAACAAAATGAAATGTAGTAAAGAAGATGAAATGTTGTCCTACAGCAGTATTCCTTGTGGAATCAGTTTTCAGTTTCCTAAGTGTGAGAAGGTGATATTTATTGTTGATAGACATTTGACAGTATCTTGAAATGCAAATACACAAGTACAAAGCTTTTCAAGCTCTTCAAGTGCTCAGATTTTCCTCACTTTATTTTACAGAGGAAGTATGTAGTCATGATTCACTCCGGTATTTCATTGCACATCCCCTTAACTAGAGATTTTCCTTTGAGTATTTAAAATGTTTTACAAATATTGAACAACCCTTTATGCCTGCAAGATCAACAGTTTTCAGATCCCATCTTTTAACCCAGATTTCAGATTATTTGGGGAGTGACTAATTCTCCAGAGTCACTCTGATAATTAGTGAAAGAATTGGAAATTGCTTGTTTCTGTCTTCAAGTTTTTGACTACTTGTGTACGTTCCTTTGCTTCACAGTGATTCTTCTGTCTGGGTGAAAGAGGGATAGATGAGAGGTGTACAGGTATCTTGTGCTTTGCTGTTAATATTGACCCTGGTCAGAAGAGTTGCTGGCTTGGAGACTGTGAACAAGCAAGCCTTCCTATGGAAAGATTCTGTTCCGGTTGAGGTTTAGTAACCTAGATCTCTAGATCAGAATTTGAGATTGTCTTTCTTGTAGTCCCCTTGTCCAAATCCAGTGTGTTCTCTTTCTTGCTCAACAGCTGATGCTTAAGCATATGCGTAGCAGCTGTGGATTTGTGTTTTGTCTATGGAGTCTAGTGCTGTTAATGTGCTAACTATTTAGGCACATAATCTCTTCTGATAAATCCAAAGAGCCTAAGTGTAAGTGATGGGTTAATAGCAGAATAGCTGCTGTTGATTTAGAACCTGTTACTTTGGCTTTCTTTTCCCCCTGTGCTCCTGTACAGTGATGAAACAGTATGACAAAAATTAAAAGATGAAGTTATAGAAGGTGAATGGCACCTGTTTGGTTCCTTCTCAGTAGAAAGACCAATTTGAGTATTTCTGTAATTTATAGTGGTTCAGTGAATTTATATTTAAAAAATTTCAAAACCTTATGCTTTCTGTGAAATCTACTGGCACCAGGTTGACAGACCTAGTGCTGAACATTTGATTGTATTTTGTTGCTAATGAGCATTATGACTGTCAGTGCTGCTGTCTGTTGGGAATGCTATGGCACAACATCTTGTGAAGGCTTTGAGCCCTAAGCACTTAGAAGATGTGTTCATCAAATGCTTGGTTTTAATTTGTAATCGAGTTTGTTTTGCTTACTTATGAAATCCTTCTCCCTCTGTAGGATGATAAAGTTAAATCTCTTCTCTTGAATTTGTTCTACTCTAACAGACTGATGCCTGAGCAGGTGCTGAGGAATGATTGCTTCCTTGTAGTAGATGCAATTCCAGTTTCACTGCAAGCAGGTAAAGAGTATGAGCCACATAAAAAATATGATTCTGAGAAAAGACATGAGGAAAAAAAAAAGTGATCAACTGAGGAGAATGGAGCAAACTCTGCTTAATAGATGAGAAACTTTTCCATCAGGTGTTTGATTGAGACTTCTGGTTTTGTTTGGTTTTGAAATCATTGACCTGATCTGAAATCTCAAAATATAAAAGGTTAGGTAGGTGCAATCATGTTTTGTGATTATACAGTCTTGACTGTGTTTTCTTTTATTTTATTCTAATTAAGTGTTTGGGGAGATAAGTGTAATATTACTCATTGTATTCTTAGTTTGTTGGCCTTTTTCTTTTTCTCTATGTAGGCTTTAAATTTAAAGAGATTAGTCTTGTTAGATGCCAGAGATCTTTAAGATGAAGCTTTAGTGAGTTGTTTTTGTATCCAGTTATCCCTCTTCATGCTCTGATTCCAGATAACATATTCCTCTTAAAGATGCTCTAGGGTTTTTTTGCTGGAGTTTTGTTGTTATTGCATAGACAAATTGTTCCCACAGCAACTGCCTTCAGGATTTAAGGAGAAAAACCAGTGTACTGCTTTGAGAACTGGTGAAAGAAATGGTGAGCACCCTTCCTCTTTTCTGCCTTTCTGCTTTTGAAAAATGGAATTGGCTTTGTAGAGAGCAGTCATCCTTCTAGCTGCTCCTTTGCAGTGCTGCTGCCAGCCAAAATACTATACACACACATTAACAAAAACTACTGCTTATTTGCTCAACATCTCTGTGTGTATATATCATCTGTTCTTAAATGTTGTTTGCAGTAGCTATAAAGGTGTGATTTTCAGGAAAAGGTTTGTTTGCTGACAACACTTTGTTGTTGTTACTATTGAAAGAGTTTTGTCAGCTCTTTATCTTTACAGGAAATTGTTTATCTTTATGAAGGTTTTCAATGCTCCTCAGAAAGAAACTGGTCAGAATGCACAGTGTTGCTGTAGCAGTATATTTAGCCTCTGGGTGTTGCTCTTGGACAGCACTGTTGGCAGACTACTATTTTGCAGAGGAATTACTGAAGCTGCTTGTTGTCAGATGAAGAATGTAAAAATGCAGTATGTAATAGGCAAGCAGCAGCACCAGGGGAACTGGGGAGTCCTCAGGTACAATAATACGGTCCACAGTGGATAGAAGACACTACCTTGGCAGACTGACCTCTGATATTAGATTTAGTTTTCTATCCTTAAACAAATTAGATTTCTTATATGGAATAGCATGTAAGATGTTTCATCCTCTTTTCATTAAATATAATTATTTTTTGAGTTTTGTAATGTGTGTATAACCAATGATAATAAAACCTTTGTTAAAAGTATTTTTATATAGAATTTTTAGTTAATATTTTCATTACAGAAATCACACAGGAATAATACCTTGTCAATGAATACGAACAGTTTAAAAGTTTTGTGGAATGCTTTCCAAATACTGATTGCAGTCTTTCACCATTAATAAAATGTTAACTTTAATTTTAATTAGTGTTAAACACTGAAGAGAGGTTAGAAGACTAACCTGAAGGTTTGTATCATGCTGTGTAACATATGTTAGAATAAATTTTTGCTCAGTTTTCCCGCTTTAGAGCCCGTGCAACCTAGAGTGTACTTAAATCCCCAAATTGTTAACCTTCTTGGTTTTCTGAAACCAGAAGTCTCTGTGTATGCTTGATTAAAAAAAAAATAATTGCAGACCCTTCAAAATCTCTTCACCAGCTGTAAGTAATATGAAACCTTTTGTTACGTATGAGCCTTTTCCATTTAAATTAAATGCTGATTACAGTTTTAGTGTCACTAGTTCTGTTTGTTTCTACTTTGACATTTTCTATGGTAATTTTGTAGCTCTGGCTTTCTTTTCATTTCTTACTTGCCGGAGGCCTTAAGAAAATAGGTTAGTTGAGGGTCATGTTGCCAAAGCTGAATACTAATCTATGGTAATGGACTGCCTGCTATGTAGTTCAAGACACAGCTCTTTCAACTGCATCTCTTATGGCTAGAAGGTGATACTTGGAGGATAGAGAGGGGAGGTTGAAATGATCCTGTAGGAACCATCTGCCTTTTTTCTCACTTGCTGCTTCTTCTAAGAAGCCCAAAGGAAACTTGCCTCAGTCTTCCTTGGTATCAGCATTCTGCAGCTTTGAGCAGTGTCCTTGCAGAGACCAGGATGGTGGGGGCCTGTCAGGGGGGAAGCAAGGCATTCAGTTGCTGTCATGGGCCCCAGACACTCATATCTTCTTACTTACCCATGCCTTTAATGGTAAACCAGCAGGTCCAGCTCCAGGTGCTGACAGCTTTCTTTCATGAGGACTGTTATCTTCATTACTTGTTCAGATTTGTGTTCTCTGTGCACTCACCTTGGTGTTCACCAGTTGTGACTTCATATCAGCGTTGGCTTTTGCTCACAATGTCATACCCAAGTCGGCTACTACCATTGCCTTCTAGGCTGTAGATCTGGTAACAAAGTCTTCAGACACCTGTCACCACTTCCTTTGCCTCTACCTAAACTAGCCTGCAGACCTGGTAAAAGGCTGGTTTTCTTTGGGAAGAGGAGATCTTTAAGCAGGTTGGGAGAACATCAACATTTCTTATCTCCATGGTTTGGGTGGAGCTGGGGGAACTACTCCTCTGGTTCTGAATGCTGCATCTCCAGTCGGTTCTGGAGACTCCTGCTGTTCTGTTCACCGCCTCTTAATCTTCATGCTTACATTAACATCCATGATAATATATTACTACATCTTTCCAAGTTTGCTGCTCACTCCTTTAGTATTTAACACCAGTGCCTGTGTAGTTTTGAGAAGGGTTGGGGTGGGTGTGGTCTTTTGTACTTCAAAGCAGCTCTCTGCTAGTACAGAGTCCTACTTGTCAGCACTCACTAGTATTTTAACGATTTTTTTTCCTGCAAGTTTGTATAGCCTGCAGATTGAATTATATTCCTTCATAGGTAATTGCCTCAAGAAGTTCCCCTAAATGAACAAAGATTGATTTCATTTGCAGTCACTTCATTTCCTCAGTTTATAAGGAAACTGATTTCAAATCAGGAGTCGAGTAGCTTGCAAGCTGATGACTTTCTTGACCACAGTGGATGTTTGAGAGTCAAATCTTCATTCACGTAATTTAAAACCCTCATGACAACTTTCCTCAGATTTCTGGGTGCGTACTGACAGGCACTAAGATAATGCACCATGCCACAGCTCCTGCGGTAGTTGTCTTGGAAAGTGCTTTTCCCAGCTGGCACACTACAGCTAGATATACCAAAAACAATTGTCAAATTGTCCTAAAGCTGCTGTTATGACATGTGGTAGAGCTCATGGGTTCAGGTGCTGGATTTGGGTTTTGGCAGCTTTAGATTCAGGGACTGCAGTACATAAAGATTACACTGTGTGGAAACCTATGCTAAAACCATTTGAATTGGATTTTTCTAAAATATGTTTTAGAATCCTTTCTGACTGGCATCTCTGTGTTAGAACTGTAAGGTATGTTATTAATATATGGGGAGAAACAAGATGTGACCTGCTGTGTGAAGATGTGATGATTTGCATTTTTTACCTACTGTGTTACTAGTAGCCATTTAGCTGCCTCAGGCCTGTGGGTGAGACTCCCTTCCACTTGCTGCATACCAGAGATGGGAAACCTTACCAAAACTCCCTGACACACCTTTCTTCACTGTGAACTTCCAGCTATTCAACTTCCTTGCAACCTTAACAATTGGTAGCATACTCAAGCAGACTGGATCTGTTCTGTCTCATCTTGACCAGCCCAGTGTGGACTAAAAATTTCTGATATTCTGAATATGGTATGGCAACTTTAATAGCAGCCCTCTGACTTCTTTATGATCTCCTTTTCCAACTCTGTGACCTGGTGTTTTGGCAAAGCAAAGAGATGTACCACCTGGCATCAATATACTGGGTACTGGCAGATTTGACAGCTCTGGAGAGAGTCCTTGTTTGAAGTGAAAGAAAATGGTGTACATTTTGGGCTTTAAGATGCAAGATTATATTCCTTTAGATGACTCAACAGCAGATTTTGCCCATGCCAGGTCTGTCTTTGGTTTTGTCGTCTTCCAGATGTGGCCTAGGACACCTATGCTGTAAAAGTCCATGTTGCAGCTTCATGATTAGTACACGGTGACATGTACTTAGTTCCAGGGCTGAGGGAACTCCAGCACTTACCAAGCACTCTGTGCATTGCTGCAGCTTGTCTTTCTAACTAAATTCTTGAGCACTTTTCTTCTTTCACTCTGGTAATAAAGTTTTTCTGTTGTTCTCAAAGGCAGTCTCTTGCGGTGTTACCAGAACCTGAAAATCTGTGAAATGCAAGTTCTTAATAGTGTTGCCTAGCTGTGGTGGATTAAGTTATTGTCTGCTCCCCCAGTCTTGCCCTGCCAAGGCAACAGTAGACACAGGAACAATTCTAGGAGTTGAAAAAGAGTTATGTACCCGGTAGACAGTCTTGAAATTTTGTAGAAGGATTTTTAAGTGGTAATTAGCACACTTCAAATTTTTATGCAGTTTTTGTGTAACTGTGGTAAATTGCAAGCTGTGCAAGCCCTACCGGCTGAAATACTGAACAAACACACAAGAAGCCTTGTGCAGCAAAAAAGTCACATGCAATGTGAATGTGTATGGCCAGCACAACTCAGAGGATTTCTTTGTGTACAAGTATTTCAGTTTACAGGATCAATTTAGTCTCCCTCAGGAGAGAAACTAGGAGAATTCCTTTGGAGGTAATAGATTGAAGATGCTTTGGTCCAGCTACTGTGATGAAAGCTGGGTGAATACTCCAAAGGAAAAGCCCACTGACCTCCATATCAGGAGGTGAAGACTGCTGGAATTGGAAGTTATTTGAAAAACTTATTTTTTTTTTTTCCTCATAGAACTTTGGTTAAAGTTGAAAACTCCTATTGGGAAATGCAGCTCTATTCCATAAGCAACTTCTCTTCCTTCTAACTTAAGATAACTGTCAAAATGGTGATTTCACAAAAGCAATGCCAACCTCTCTTTGATGGCTGGTTGTGACTTGCAAGAGCAGTTAAGGCCACAGTTTCCAATGCATCTCATGAAAGAAAAAAATATCTCAAAGTTGTTGTGGTTGGACAACAGTATGTTTACCTTAATGGCTTTTTCCTAATACTCTTTTGAAATATTTTGTTAACTAGAGCTTTACTTTGTTGTATTACAGTGATCTGCAAAGCTGTTTTGCTTTTGGGACCGCTTTTGCTATCGGGGCCTTATGGTTCAGTTGCTGTGACTTGACAGCCTTTCTATTTCAGTACTTAATTCCTTATGTTGTCTCTACAAACATAATGTCACTATTGTAGAGGGTGGGAACGGTTTGTGCTGGTGTTCTGTTGGAGACACTGTTATTTCTTTCATAGTGCCATTGCAAGTAACATGAGTGCTAATGGGCATAAACTGTGAGACCGATCGTTTGGGTACGTTGTAGTGATTTGTCACGAAGTGCCCTGTTCCTCTCCAACTTAATAGGCTTCCAGCCTTGTCTGCATGTGTGCTGCAGATTGTCCCAGTGTTTTACTAGGGAAGAGCTATCTTTAAATATGGAATCAAAAACTTCACTCTTCTTTACA